ATCTCAATGAAATTCTAAACCTTAGATAAATCTTAGACAAATTCTAATCAAATCCTAGTCTAATCTTAATCAAATCTTAATCAAACCTTAATCAAATCCTAATCAAATCATATATAGTTATATAGTTATTAGCATATATAGTTATTTTCACTATTCTTCATAAGTCATAGAACTTACAACCAATTCTAGTATCAAGAACATATTTTTTTTAAGTTAATAGAATTACTCAATAAAAAGATTAAAATAGAGATTTTAGAACTATCTATTGCACTTTATTCTAAACAATGGTTCTTTATACCAAAGAAGAATAGAACAACAAGATTTATTTAAAACATATAATAAAGTAAATAAGATAACTATTAAAAATATGGATTTAAGTCTAATTGTAGATAAAATTGCAAATGTATTTGATTGAAGAGAAATTTTTATATTAGATAATTTTTATTTAAAATAAAATAAAATTTAATTGAAATTAAAAAAATATAAATTTAATTACTATACAGATTCTATAGGATTTAATAAAAATGTATAAATTTCTTTTAAGGGCTATTAATTTCATAGATTATATAATAAATAAAATAAATAAAATAATAAAGGATTTTATATCAAAAAATATGTGATTTTTAGATGATATTTTAATTAAGGAATGTACAAAAGAAAAAAGAATGCAATATTGGATTAAAGAAACTATTATAAATTTATTATAAATCACATAATGGATTGTGAAAGATTTTATCAAAGTTAGAAGATGAATATTTGATTTTGCCAATTACAAAGTATATGTTTCGAATGAATGAGATTCTTATTGTTACATAGACATGTAGATTATATAGATGCAAGTCAAGTATTGAAAAGGTAGATATTATTAAAAAAAAACAATGAAAGAATGTGCAAACACAATAGAAGTTAGAAGGTTTTTAGAAGATTATACTTTCTATCATATGTAGATATTATATTTTTCACATATAGTATATCTATTATATAAATTATTGAAAAAAAATCAAATATTTTAATATAAAAAAAATTTAAAAAATATAAAAGGTTAAAAAAACTTCTTTTTTTATCTCTAACTTTAAAAAAAGTGAATTATAAATGTACAAAGTTTGTGATTTAAAGTATTGATATAAGTCTAATAGATATAGATTGGACAATTCAAAAAAATATAAAATATAAAAATAGATATGTTATAAGATTTAGATCAAAGTTTTTGAATGCTAAAAAAAAGTCATATGCAAAAATGAAAAGAGAATTATGAAGTATTTTGATTTTTGTGAAGAATAAAAATAAATATTTAATTGATAGATTGATAATTATAGAAATAAATTGTCTTCTTTTATTGGATATAATTATAAGTTTTTTTACTTCAAATATTACTATATTAAAATAGATAGTATACATCAAATCTAAAAATCCAAAGCTTGAGCATATTGCAAGGAAAGATAATTTAGTTACAAATATATTATTAAAAAAAAGGTAATATGATTAAAAAAATATGATTAATTTGAAAGATAATATGGATAATTTTTTTTATTCTAATACGTTATCAAAAAGAGAAGGTGTATGTTTGAATATACCATTGGAATTATTTTAAAAGATATATATGAAAGTAAATGAATAGATATCAGGAAGTACCTAAACACATTAAAGTGATTAGAAAGTTGGACATATCAAGAATTTGAGAAAATCTATAGAAAGGCCTATGTATACTATTTACATGATGGATATTTATAGAAGCATCCAAAGCAAAGGAAAGAAGTACAACATTGGATGATATGTGATTTAGAACCTCAACAAAAGATTATGAAGGAATTCCAAAAGAGTTTGTTGGACATTATAAAGAAATTTGGACAACTTATACTAAATTGAAGGATAAGTATTAATAAAAAGGCATGTGTAAAGATGTAGCTAAATTTGTAGGATCATGTGAGATTTGTCAACTTTATTTTAATATTTGATATCAAGATGGATTACACCTAACTTTGGATTATCATTGTTTACAAAAGACTTTAGGGTGTTGAGAAGGAAAAAACCAAGAATGTTTGCTGGTTGAAGCTACTACCTCCATTTTAAGTCCAAACCATTTGAGTTGTCACTGAACCAATCTTAGACAAGTTTTTTTTCATTAAGACTTGATTTTCAATTTTTACTTAAGTTGTGGAGTGACGAATGGAACTTAAATCAATTTAGACAATTGCTATAAGGAGTTGTCATTGAAGCATTAGACTGTGTACCAAGATTGTTGGGAAAGGATAAGCTTGGATGAAATGTGTTGGATATTAAATACAAATCTTCATTTGACAGTTGCCAAGGAGACAATGTGCTAAGCTTGTGGGAGGTAGAAGACAAAGTGCAACACATCTTTGTCGGTACTTGCAAAGGCAGAGAGCTGATACTGTTGCATGACTGAAAGGATACTCAGCTTGAAGCATTTTCATCATTTAAGTGCAGCTATTGAAGTGGGTTTTACTATCCATGACGGCTTCTAATGTGTAAGTGCAAAGGAGTTCCCTTTTGTGCTAGAGCTTCAAGATTTTATGCAGCTTCAAGTGGTATAAAAAGCACAGAAGTCTACATAGAACTGACTCTTACAATTTTCTCCTTTGATGGATGAGTCATATTTCCCGAAATATGTATCATTTTATTATCATCCTTGTAACAATCATTTTGATGGACCCAAGATGATTTGTCCATCTTCTTTGTCTTTAATGTAGTAGAAACCAAGTTGGTGGAACCTTGGTTTGGCTTCTGTGGCATAGTGTTCTCTTAGGTATCTGATAATATGTAGTAGTTAGTGCCTTTTTATTTGTACCATACACAAATTTGGGCAAGAACTTTGTATGAAAATGAGCTACTGTGTCAAGCAAGTTGTCTTTGGAGGAGATTCTCCAATTGTCTCTTCAATATATGCAAGGTGGGAGTTCAATCCTGACCATTAATTTCCAAGCTAATTATTATTTTTGCAGAAATTTTCTTTTAAGATAATGTTCAGTTTTCACATATATCATGTTCATGACCAGTGTCAAATTCCTAGAATGTAGAGCTTCTCTTGACTAAGAGATTGTTGCATTGCAGTATTTGGGTTTTTTTTATGGTAATAGATTGATAAACAATGTGCATTATATGAATGTATACAAAGCTAGTTATTAAGAAAAATATCATAAAATTTAGAAAATTGTATCCATCTAAAGTTTGTAAGTTGTCATCTACTCATTTCTTTATCTCCCTATTATGTAGTATATTATTTCTTTCATTTTGTATTTTCGGGATAGAATGAGGTTGTATCTCCCTATTATGTGGCATTTTGGGATAGAATGGCCAAAAACGATAAACAAATCCAATAAACAATGAGACAAATCAATTTATTGAAACTATACAATAACACAATAAAACCTGCAATTTGTATCCACATCAACAAACAATTGAATTTTTACATAACAACTTGGTTTTAACACCTTCAATGTTGAACTTAAACATATTCACATTAAATTTTTTGTTTTTGCTTCGACAAAGATTTTATCTGAACACCTTACTATACTATACATCAATGTATAGTAATGTATACATCATTTATCTTATGTATGTTTTATCACACAAAATCCATATTCATTCATTATATAAATTATAAAGCATGTAAAATCAATTTATTCTTACTTTACATTTTTACTGTATCCCTTTTTTGTAAACAAAATCAAAAGAAAGAAAAAATATACTTTTTTTTTCAAATTATTAAATCAATAGGCATATTAAGGTACAGTGGAGAATATATCACAATTCTAAATTTCTAACATTTTAAGAATTTTCTTGATACCTACAACTTTTTATTTTTATTTTGAAAAATTATTACAATATTTATCTTTTAATTTCTAAAAAATTATTTTTCAATAATTCCAAAAAAGAGACTTCTTTAATTTCATCCAGGTTTTACAAAATTATCAACATCTCACATTATTTGTATATTATGTTGCCAAGGCTTTGACAAAAAAATAGTGAAGTTATGCATTCTCAAAGTTTGTATTTTAGAATTCCATTATATCCATCTCTTTGGCCAACATTATAAAACCATTAATAAACTGATCTCAATGCTTTAAATGCTAATTCAATTGCATGGCACACAAAAGTATTCAAAAAAAAAACTTGATGTACGTCTGCATTTAGCAAAAAGTAGTGATTTTGATGCATCATGAATTTTCTATTTTTATTTATTTATTTATTATAGATCCATCAAAACATTTTTGGATTGTTTTATCATTTCTTTTTATTTTTTTGTATATATTTCTTGCACAAATACCTCAATTTTATGCATATGGATCTAATTATCAAACCTTCATTTTCAAATATTTTGATTACCTGTACTATTAAAAAAACTGTTCATGAAATATATATATATATCTCTCATAGAAAGTTGAATTGTAATTTATATATACATACATATACAATTTTTTTTTTGCAATTTTTGAACAAAAAGAATGAAATTTTATTTTCTAGTAACACAGTGTATCTAGATGCGCAGTACTTTGTCCAGTGTTAATGAATCAAGTCTGGTTCTCCCCCAATTGTCCACCGCACATACCCCAATTGTAAATCATGGAGGAGCCCACTGCAAGGAGACAAAAAGAACGAAGAGCTTGGAAAGAAGTGAGCAGAAGAAGAACAAGAAGAAGAAGAAGCCGGAAACCAGCATTGTAGAAGAAATGGGGGTGGTGGAAGGAAGAAGAAAACTCTAAAAAGCAAAAGCTCATTAATACAACATATAGTTAATACAAGGGCCATTCAAGAATAGGACATAGTTGCTTCTAGGAAATTCACTCTGCCAATAGATCCCGTTGACCGGAGTCGGGCAGAGGGGGGCAGGCAGAAGCGGGCAGGGAGAGAAAAGTGAGAAGCCGGGAGAGAAGCAACAGCTTTGGAGGGGTACTGTACGTTAGGGCTTCATCATCGTTGTCGCCATCGTCGATGTGGCCACGTCATATGTCTGCATCGTATCCCCGGAGCAACCTCCCGCTTGCATGAGCAATCTCGTCGGATTACGCTTACGGGGAACTTTGTCTGCACTGCCCAGAATAGACTTAGTGTCGGTATTTGTTTGCTTGCCGGTACCAGCAAGCAGGAGAGATCCTGGGACGCTTTTCCTGATGGAATGGTTGTGCTCCAGGGTATAATTGGAGCGTCTGATCAAGTTTGTTGCAGTTGATTATGGTCGCGCTGATGGGAGGCGTAGTTGGAGTGAGCAGTGAAGTGAGAAACGTGCGCGCAAGGTGCGCTGTGAGGTGGCTTTTGTGGTGGAGTGTGTTAGGTGTGTGGTGGAGTGACTAGGGTTGGTGGTGCAGGGCATCACGGAGGAGAAAAATTACCGACATTCGCGACTGCTGGAGCGGTTTTATTGTGACTCGTGAAGTAGTGGTACCGTAATTTTTTGTTGAGTGAAGTAGGCAACCTCCAGAGCTGCACGGGATCGGCTGATTACAACCCTTGCTAGCTTTTAATCCTGAAGTTCCAGATTGTCGACCTTGTTATCGCATTTGCGGAGCTGGTTGTTAAGAACCTCGTTTTCTCGTCAATATCCATGTTAGCGAAACGTTGCTTCTGGTTTAGTGCGCATGAAGCACTTGCATACTTTATCTACATCCCGGAGTTGTAACGTTGAAGGATAACAGAGCCTGCAAGTATCTGTATAAATTTAGCACTTAGGAGTTTGTATCTCTCATCGACAGCTTTCCACTGGAGTTTTACATGTTCGCACCGAATAGATTGTGTTGTTAGAACCTGTACCCTTCAACGCTGTGGAGTGGATTGTGCTGTGCTGTCAGTAAGTTTAATGTCTTCCGATACACCTGAATGACCAGTGGGTGCTGTCGTATCACTGGCACCACCGCTACCATTGACAATAAGTCCTGTTATCTTTCAGTATTGTTCAAACTTGCAGGATCTTAGTCTTAAAATTATGTGCAGTCTTGCGTTTTCAATTTAAGTTAGCTCAGCATCATGCAAACAATCCCTCGGCTTCAATTTGAGCGATTCAGCCACATGATTGGGATGCCCTCTGGTGTCAGTTGGCTGATCTCTGTGTTCTCAATATGGAATTATGATTTGATGGCGGAAAGAACAACAAATTTGAGAATTGCAATTGAAGTAGCTACATATTTCAAAGGGCAGTAATTTTTTGCCTAACAAAAACTTGAGCACAACAAAGTTAGATTCAAAAACTAGAACTGCAGCTTTGCCATCGGTAGTAATGGCGGACGTAGCGTCTCGCTGTCAGGTATGTTTCCTTACTGTTGGTTGAAGAATACCAAGACAGCCTGTAGCTTCTGTCTCCTGTATGTACTGAACAGCTTAGTACTTATATTTCTCGCTTAGTTGATTTTTATGGCGGACGATTTGATAATTGTGAAATTGGGTGCTTGCAGAGCCAGTTGGGCTCATTTCGCATCAGGGAACTGAAAGATGTCCTGGCGCGACTGGGTCTTCCTAAACAAGGAAAGAAGCAGGTGCGTCTGAAATCCCATGACTTGTTTGCATGCAACAACGTCTTAGTCCGTATATGGAGAAAAGAATCAGCAATTGGAGTGGAGATATCCGGTTTTTCTTCTCTCGAATTATGTCGACTATCATTCATAGTTCCCTTCTGAAATTAGAGCATTAGGTGGTTTAAGTTAATATAATACGGTTCAAATCTATAGGAGAGGTTTTTGCACGCGGTAGAAGATGATTTATCTTTGAGGTAATGTGATAAGTTTTTTGCAGTGTCAAGATCGGTTCCTCTCTTACTTATAATTCTATGAAATGCCCCTAGGTTGGTTTGCGCGACTGTTCGATCTTCCCTCTCGCGCATCATGCTCTAGTCTTAGCGAGTTCAATCTCATAACATGTTGCACTGTGTTTTTGCAGATCCTCATTGACAAGATCATGGATTTGATCAATCCTGCAGAGAAGGAATCGCTAGCGAAAGGTGAGATATTTTAGATTCGGAGTCAGTTTTCTTCTGCTGTAGTGTTTGATGAGTAGATGACAGGATTTCGGGATACAGTCGTATTCGCTAGAAACTTGTTGGTTCTGTCGTATTTCTGGCATACTTTTGTTTGAAGTGGCGGGTCTTTGGATACGAAGGTTGTGAGTGGTTTTTAGTTACACTGTTTCATCTGAGTATAATCAGGAATTGGTTTGTTTATCCTTGAGCTTGAACTTGCGATCTATGTTGCTTTAGCAGGCTCTAAAAGTAGCAAAAAAGCCATTTCAGGAGATGAAGCAATTGCTATTGTTGACGAGCAATACAGGTGCGTAGCCACCTGCTTTATTTATTTATTGTTTATTCATTGGAGCGTCTTTCGGAGATTTGTCATGAAGGTCTATATTCAGCAGTTGTTCTTGCGAGAATCACGAGTAGTTACCTTGAGTGGAAACATTTTGGAGCTCTTTCAAGGAAACATAGTGACGAATACTTCCCAAAGATCAACGTAAGAAGTCCAGGCCATTTTTGAGTTGTTAGGATATTAACTGACAGGTAGTTTAGGTGTAGAATGTTCAAGTTTGATTATAATTTGCATTGGATTTTTCTCATAGCCGAGATTTGTTCGAATTTTTACAGGAAACTTCGAAGTATTGGAACTGATTTATCTAGGCATAAATCTGCTAAGTCTGCATCCAGCAGTGGATATCCTTCACCTGGGCTTGATGAAAGTCGTTGTCCTTGTGGAAGTAGCGTGGAAGCTGGACGCATGATTCAGGTCTTTTCTCAGTATATGTTTTCAGGACTATTTCCTTAATCGCTCAATTATTTTCTAAAAAGTTGAAGTGGCAGTCAATATATTGATTGAACCGGGACCAGAATTCCTCCCTCTCCGCTCCGTTCCCCTGCGGGCATGAGGTGAAGCACAGGCTAAGTTGCGTATACAACTTGCCACGTGAGGGTGAGGTGTAGAATTAAGGGGAACTAATCATGATCCTCCCTTCATCCACCTTGTATGTTGGTACCCGGAGTTTAAGTCTACCGCTTCATCTCCAACTTTATTATAATTTTATTTGTATTGTGGAAGGTTTAGATAATGTAAATTTTGACTTGAATGGGTAAGTGGTATCTTTTGCAGTGTGATAGTCATGGATGTCGGATCTGGCAACATAGGAGTTGCGTCGATTTTCCCAAGAAGCCAAAAGATGGAGTTCCAGTTGAGACTCCGCCAAATTTCTACTGCGAGCTTTGCCGCATATCTCAGGGAGATCCGTGCGTTTCCGTCATAAATGCTTCTTTTTTTTATCTGTAGTTTTGCTTAAGGTTGTTAGGATGGCTTTGGTAGTGAAGTTTGTTCTATTTGGTTATTTCTGATTTGAAAATTTTTCTCGATCTTATCAGATTTTGTGAAGCACTTTTTCACCCTCTGCTGCCTGTAAAGTTTCCTTCTTCCACAGCCAAATCGGAGAGGTATGTCTTAATGTCGGGCAGGTTGTTTGTTATTTCATGTATTCAGCTCATCATGAGAAAAGTTATTTGATCATGGACAATTTTTATGTGATAGAGTTTATATGTAATATTATTGTGTTTGTGTATCCTGCCTTTGTCTGAGTTTAGCGTGAACAAGTAATATGATTTTGTGTTTAAGGATTGTTAGGTACTTTAATGAACCTCCTGTTTTTTCGTTGCTAGCGTTAGTCTGTCATTTTGACAGAATTCTCTGGTTGATAATTGGATTGCAGAGCTATTACTCTACAGAGCATAGATGAGCAGTTTACTTTGAGTCTTGCGCACCAGGAACTGCTTCAGAGTCCAAATTACGATCTGCAGGTATTCCCCCAGCAGGTTGCTGGAATTTATTTTCATTGAGCTCTCTGTTCCATTTCAATGGCATTAGGTTTTTGAGTTTCATTTTTCCTCCCTTTAACTTCATCCAAGGACGTGTTGTCTCATCAGGGTTGAGTTTTTTATACCTTCATGTATCAATATGTGCTAAGGCTTTTGTTTTTTCTTATTTAATATTTTGTACAGGTCATGACTGTTTAATGAGTTTTCTCAAATAGTATGGTTGTGAGGAGAGTATTTTGAACTCGTTTTACTTTAGCAATCCTTTTTTTCATAGTTGTGGGGATACCATAAACTTTGTTTTCAGGTACATCTTTAGACATTAACATTTGAAAACTTGATTTTATTTATAACATTTAGGTCTTACTGACGTGATGGACGTTTTTCAGGTCTGGTGTGTGCTCTTGAGTGACAAGGTTTCCTTTCGCATGCACTGGCCTCTTTCAGCTGTTTTACGTGTTAATGGTACCTTTCATTCCGATATCTTGATGCATTGTGTATGCTTGAGCACTTCACTTACTTTGTATCGAGAGCACGGAATATTCCGTACAAAGTTGCCCAGGAGAGTCCTACTTGCACTGTTATTAATGGTCGTCTTGATTGTTTGGAACCGAGTTAAATGTCTTGATGTTTGGTACTACGAACAACGAAAACTATGTCGCTTCTGAGGATTGCATCGATTTGTTTACGGTTTTAAGCGTTTGATTGGGTTGATCAAAATACAGAATATTCAAGGGTAGGATGGAAGACTTGTATTTCCAGTGATTTATTCCAATTGACTCGTAACGTTCTCTATGTCAGATGCAAATGTGCGGGTTACTAATCGACCTGCTGAACAACCTTTAGGCGCAAATAGTCGAGATGAAGGACATAGTGTAAGTGTATTCATAAACCTACACCAAGTTGTCTCTTCTCTGTTTTATGAAAGGTTAAGCTGGTTGGGATACATTTTTGGATCGTTCTCTCTGGCACATTAGCAATTGTTATCATTTTTGTTAATACTGGCATAAGGTCATTCTTCGGCTTTTCAGATCACTTCATATACCAGAGAGGGACTGAACAGGCTGAACATGTCATGTGATGATGCTCGCCCATTCTGTTTAGGAGTGCGAATCATCCGCCGCCGTTCCCTTGAGGAGGTGTGTTTTGAGATAGCCGGCAATATTTATTACACTGATATCAACATGTGATTTTTTGTTAGCTGCAATCGAAAAGATGTGCTTGTTTTGTGTCCATAATTAGTCATAGTTTTTGTTTGTTCATATTATAAAGTCTGACGAGTTAAGATTTTATACTCTTTTGCAGTATCCTCTCTGAATTTACAGACAGGATGTTGATTGATTTTTAGGTTATGGACATGATTCCAAATGAGAAGGATGGAGAGCCTTTTGACGAGGCCGTAGCTCGAGTACGGCGATGTATAAATGGAGGGGGTGGTCAGGGATTAGGCAGTGATGATGACGGTGCCGATAGCGATTTGGAAATTGTGGCGGAGTCTCTCACTGTTAACTTGCGCTGCCCGGTGAGAACATACAATTTCGTGAGCTGTAGTTGATTTCAGTAATTGTTTGCTACCTTAATCTTCTGATTATTGTATTATCCTGCTTTATCTGCCTAAAGCATGCTTTTACAGTTCTGTTCACTTTTGGGATTTTGATGCAAGTACATGTGGTACTGAGTTTTTTTATCAGGTTCTAAGTGTTGTCTAGTTCTTTTTGTGGTGACAGACCGGTGCATATTCTGATGTATTTGGGTTTGTGATGTACAGATGAGTGGGTCCCAAATCAAAGTTGCAGGTCGTTTTAAGCCATGCCCACACATGGGTTGCTTTGATCTTGATACATATGTGGAAATGAATCAGCGAACGCGGAAGGTATTTTTAGTAATCTTAATTGCATCAATTGTCAACCCTTACGCGTTGCTACATATTTTATTTTATTGGAATACCAGAATGTCAGTCATTCTTAGCAAAACAAATTAGTATTCAGGATAATATCTGTATTCAAAGGGTAGGGATGTGCAGATCAAAGGATGTGGTTTATTCACTGACATTTTTCTGGTACATTTTGTGGGTGATATAGTGGCAATGTCCTATTTGTTTGAAGAACTACTCTATAGAACATCTGATCATCGACCCTTTTTTCAATCGGATTACAAATGCGGTATGCGTCAAACGTCTTCTTTTATATCATGATGGATTCTGGATGAATTTTAAAATAAATTAGGATATATTTCACTGATAGTAGAATTGTCATTACTATCATTGACACCTGAGAAATGCAAGTGAAAATATCAATACTTTTAGGCGTTCTTATCTAGTGGAAAGATCTAGTTGAATTCTTGTAACTGATTTCTATACAGGATTTATATGATGTATTAAAAAAACGGTTTTGCATAGCATGCTTTTTGGACGAATTAAGATACCAGATTTATTTTTATTTTTCATCTTGTGGCTTAAGCCTCCTGATCTACATGGGTTTTGTACCAGTTGAGAACTCTGGATGAAGACGTCACTGAGGTGGAGCTCAAAGCTGATGGCTCGTGGCGGCCCAAACTGGAAGGGAATGTTAAGAACGGAGAGCCTTGGAGTCCATCACCAGCGGCTGCCGTAGCAATTGTCTCTAATGGGAACAAATCAGCACCTGTTCTATTTTCTAGCCATCATGTCAAAATTGAGGCGGGCCGTTCTTCTCATGATCATGGCTCTTTGCAATTGAAATGGACACCTGAAGTTCAGAGAGTCGTGAATGGCAGGAATTACCGAAATGGTGGCCCAAGCCTGCAAGTTATGCCCTTGCCCAGACTTTCAAGAAGTAGCAGCGCGACTGGTAGCAATCTTAAAGTAGGCGAGGATGAAAATAGTGTAAATCAAGATGCAAGTGAGAAAAACACTGTATCCATGGATGACACCGATGTGGAATTCTTATCAATACTTCAGGAAGCAGCTAGAGGAACGTGGCAAGCCAGTGGTGATGATCCTGCGAATGGAGGTGATATAATAGTTCTCAGTGATTCAGATGATGGAGAAGATGAAGTAACAGTTGTCGGGTCTTCTCATGTTTCGATGTACTCGGACGTCATCGGCAATGGAGGAGTTCGTTTCTCAGAGGGTAGGGTACCCAATGATATAAATGGTGATCCATCACGGTTTGCCCTTGGTTTAGGGCAATATGAGTACTATGGGTCACAAACAGAGGCGGTTGCGCTGCAACATCCTCCTTTGCAACCAACACCAGTGGAAGTTGTAGGAAGTTCCGATTTCCTGTGCACTTCTTTGATCGGGAATGATCCATCGCAATTAGACTGGGAAAGTTTTGGGCAGTCACATACCCCCACACTTTATGAAGTTATTGATAGCGAGAGTATAGACATTAACAAAGATGGTTCGCCTTTGCAAAATCTTCTCCCATCCCAACCAGCTCGATCTGAGGTAATGTTACTGGAATATTACCACTCATTAGAGGAATCTTTGGCTCAAACATTATAGTTACGTTTTTATTTGTGTGGAAGCTGCCTTGAAGTGCTTGCTTTCCTTCTGTTTGTTTGGTACATCAGTAAGTTGCAGTTCTGTTCACGGCCATTGATGTCACTCGTAATGCTAAAATATCAAGGTTCAGCTGTCAATAATGGAAATTTTTGCAGGTCCAAGAAAATTTACGGGACCTAACACTCCCTGCAGAAGTTATGGACAACTCTTGGTTTTCACTTAGCCTTGGCGGGATAGGAAATGTGGTAAAACCAACTCCAGAACGAAGTTTATTTACTACTTCAATAGAATGGTGTTCGCCAATTTCTCAACCAGGAGTCAATGAATACGATCCTCATGGTAAAGGAAAGCCAAATTCTAGCTCAAAGGGATTATCTAAGTTCTCTGTTTGAAGGATTTAGAAGGTTTAACTCATGTCTTTTTAATCAGGTCCTATACTTCTGTAGATTAGCTTGAGTTTTGTGAGTAGTAATTGTTCATTTACCAGATATCTCTTCAATTCTTTCGTGAAAGTCAGTTTTCCGACAATGTAATGTGGCTTTATCATTGCTGTTGTTGATTTGTTATTGACTGTAATGCTAGGTCTGGGTAGCAATGGATCATCCCAACACCTAATGGACTCAAGACATCCATTGCGCGGTCATTTTACCGCAGACGGTTATCCTTTTCCAGTAAGGCCCTGCAGTGGCCACATTCATGCACGGAGAGTTTCCCGTTAAGTTCGGATGGATAATTCGAAGTAGCTTAGAGGTTCCTACTTTCGTCTGTTAGCAGGGCGTGTCAAGATTGGGCAAATTGCTTCTCGATTTCCCTCCGACATCGATCCTTCCATGCAGCAGCTGTTGTACTATAACGAAGCAGAGCTATTCTGATGGGAATGAAAGGAATATAATGGACATCCGGGTCAGGCGGATTTGCTGGACATCATTTCCAGTTTCTGCTCTACTTCCGCTCTGTTGTCGGTACCTAATTTTCTCGCAGTAACTTTTGTACACGATAATTTCTTTATTATTAACAAATAATTATGACATTTGGCTCATCTCCAAACCATAACTAAATCTGCTAAAATCAAGTTCAAGGTTTCACTGATGTTTATGCTTACTGTAAATAATATACCTGAATTGAGACTGCAGAACTTAAAAGCACGTAAAGAGTCTTGACTGTGGAAATTAGCTGCAACATATGTTCAAGCCTACTTCCGTACTGACAGAATGCAGGCGACCTACTTTCAAGTCTATGTACTTTCTGACAGATTCTATCCTAAACATTCTCCAACATGAACTGGATTACCACTTAGTTGACCCATGAATATTGTCTGCATCTGGAAGCCAATGGTTCTTACAATTCAATTAGATGTGCAGAGTGAGTACCCCGACTTCTTCTTCAACATCACCAATTGCGGCGAGAAGGAAGCCTTGAAATTAAGTTCATATGTCGTTTACTAATCCGGCATCACGAAGCGCCACATGTTCCTCACGGAGGAGGTGCTCAAGGCCAACCCAGGCATCTGCACGTACATGGAGCCCTCCCTGAACGTCCGCCACGACATCGTGGTCGTCCAGGTCCCCAAGCTCGCCGCCGAGGCCGCCCAGAAGGCCATCAAGGAATGGGGCGGCCGCAAGTCCGACATTACCCACATCGTCTTCGCCACCACCTCGGGCGTCAACATGCCCGGAGCCGACCACGCCCTGGCCAAGCTGCTCGGCCTGAAGCCCACTGTGAAGCGTGTCATGATGTACCAAACCGGGTGTTTCGGCGGTGCATCCGTGCTCAGAGTGGCCAAGGATCTAGCCGAAAACAACAAGGGCGCCAGAGTGCTGGCAGTAGCGAGCGAGGTGACCGCAGTCACATACCGAGCCCCGAGCGAGAACCACTTGGACGGGCTTGTGGGCTCAGCTCTGTTCGGCGATGGCGCCGGCGTGTACGTGGTTGGATCCGACCCCAAGCCTGAGGTAGAGAAGCCATTGTTCGAAGTGCACTGGGCTGGAGAGACCATCTTGCCAGAGAGCGACGGAGCCATCGATGGACATCTCACCGAAGCGGGGCTCATCTTCCACCTCATGAAGGATGTACCCGGGCTCATCTCCAAGAACATCGAGAAGTTTTTGAACGAGGCCAGGAAGCCAGTGGGATCACCGGCATGGAACGAGATGTTCTGGGCGGTGCATCCCGGAGGTCCAGCCATTCTCGATCAGGTGGAGGCGAAGCTGAAGCTGACGAAGGACAAGATGCAAGGGAGCAGGGACATATTGTCCGAGTTTGGCAACATGTCTAGCGCCTCTGTGCTGTTTGTGTTGGATCAGATTCGGCACAGGTCTGTGAAGATGGGTGCGTCCACTTTGGGCGAGGGCAGCGAGTTCGGATTCTTCATTGGCTTCGGACCAGGACTGACACTGGAAGTGCTTGTGCTCCGCGCCGCTCCCAACTCCGCTTAGATTCCACCCCACCTCTCCTTTTTACTCCCCATTCTCACCAATTTGTATCATATCATATTATTGCATAGCATTGCATAGCATAGCATAGCATAGCATAGAAGTGTGCAATTCAATTTCAATGGTATTGCTTCCTGAGCTAGAGTTCGCGCTTAATTTTAAAAGAGAAATCAGGTTATCGAATCAACCTACGTTCTTGCTTCAGCGAGCTCTTTACACACTCTGAAATCTAGGGTTCCACTGTTTCGTATCCGGAACCTGAACGATCTGGCGCCTGTGGGTATATTTCTCTCGCTGTGCTAAATTGGCAGTGCATCTACTCTAGCGTTCTTATTGTTCACTCAATTTATTTCTGGAAGACAGGAGTTTGGCAATGTATAGTCACAATGCAATCAGAGGTGCGAAGTACAGTCTTATTTAGAAAATTAGGGCTGGAAGAAGATGAAGTGGGAGTGTGTAGTGCGCATTGTGCCGATGGATCTGAAATTCATCAGGAATGTAATTCATCGGTGAATCTCCGGACCATGTGTTCGTTTGAGCTTTTATAATTGCAGCCTCTAAGTCAGCTGCGATTGTTCGACACTACCCACTGTTTCTTTGAGCTGTTTCTCGTCACTTTTGAATCTGTTGCTGTAGCATTGGAAACTGAGAAGAGAAGGGTCTGCAAGGAATTGGTTGGTTGCATTGAACTCATGGTAGCATGGCCCAGCCAACAATTAATGAAAACTGTGATTTGTTGTCTGTCGGTCATTGAGAAAGTTAATCCTCCACCAGTTTCAGTGATATCTGGACACAAACAGTGGGTGTTTCACTAAATTCTCAAAATTCAAATGCAGTTGGAATGTGTTAAATGGTGTGGTATTCAAGACATTTTGGGCTTGGTGTAACATAAAATTCAAATATTAGGCATGGTGTGATGTAATATCCAAATTTTGGGCATGGTGGAATATAAAATCCAAATTTTGGGCATGGTGGAATATAATATCCAAATTTTGGGCATGGTGTAATATAACATCCAAAGTTTGGGCATGGTGGAATAAAACATCCAAAATTTTGGGCATGGTGTAATATAATATCCAAAATTTTGGGCCTGGTGTAACATGCATAGGGTTAATAAATAAGGTTAAAATCATCTGATCAGAAAATTTTGAAAACAGCTGTATCTTGTGCTAATGATAACATTCAAATTAACCAATGCTTGAACAAATTCATGAAAGTTTGGCACACCAATAGGGAAGCTTGGACACAACGGAAGCAAAGTCACAAAATAAAATAAAGGGAAGATCATCACATCAATCGCTGAACATCCATCCTCCTGAAACTCCACTAAACGTACAAAGACAGCTAAACAAATTTGAACAATCCATGACCACTCAAGTAGATGTCTTGGCTGTTGCTGAAAGTGAACTCTTATTCATTTTTGCTTGCAAACAAGAGACTCACCATAATAGAACCTTTCTTCCTCTTCTACTTCTAAAGTTAGGAAATATATACACAACTACGCATTGCAATTGCAATTTAAAAGCTGTGTGAGTTAACAGAGGTGGTCAAGGGTGAAGGCACCACACAACCTCAACTCCAAGCATTTACACAAGAATCTCCTACTAATGTACAATGTTAATTGTAACGTCAATGTGACGCACTTCCTACTAATGTACAATATTAGTTAATTGTAACGTCAATGTGACCCACACGAAGATGAACGGAACAAAATTGGGAGGTGAAGCAGTGTCAACTAGCAAGAGGCGCGAGCGGGGAAGGGCCCTGGTGTGCCGGTCCAGCCTTGAACGCATTCCAACAAAGGAGCCACCAATTGGCCTGCAGAAATGGCATTGAACACCTTCTCAATCTCTTGCCCAGGAGACACCGTCCTCTGCCCGGACAGGAGCTGCGTCTTCAAGTCTCCGCGCACTAGCTTGTATAATGGATACGTCCTACAGTCTTGAATCCTGTTGGGAACCGAGGATAGTCCCTTTGTGTCATATGCTTCTCGCACCGCGGGCACCACACGGCTCAGCTGCAGCTTCAGCTCTGCCTCAAACACTGGAATCTGCCTAAACACTGCGTTGGAGGTCTCCTTGTCGGCACTCTTCAAGGCACGGCTCACCAGCACCCCTCGCAGTTTCTCCATTAGAGGGTATGAATCACTGGTGGAATCGTCGATGTAGCTGAACACCGGCTGACGATCCACTACCATCAGTAGTTCCTTTTCGCAGAAGCGTGATGGCAGCAGTGATCCGTCGCTGCCCATGAAGAGCGTCTTCTTGGCCACCTGTGTCACTACTTGCTTCACGGCCGACTGCATGGTCTCTTCGACATGACGCAGGTCGACAGCCTGGCACAAGCCTACCAAGAAGGTGGCGCTCATGAGCTTGAGAATCTCCATGGCTTCCTCCGTTTTGCGGGCTGACACCAATCCCAGTGAGTTCACATCTTGGTTGTGTTGCTCCGCGCTTTGGACATGGGTGGTGACCGGGTTGGCTAGGTAGTTAATCTCAGATAAGTACGAGGCCATGGCGATCTCTGCCCCTTTCATGCCGTAATCCAGGCTGGGGTTGGGTCCCCCGCTCAAATTGGACGGTAATCCGTTGTTGTAGTAGTCGTTCACAAGTTCGGAGAATTGTGCGAACATGAGCTTAGCGATGGCGGCCAGCGCCAGGCGCGTGTTGTCCATAGACACGCCGATGGGCGTGCCCTGGAAGTTGCCGCCGTGCAGGGCGATGCCCCTGGCAGCGTCGATGATGGGATTGTCGTTCACAGAGTTGATCTCCCGCTCGATGGCGTGGGTGGCGTTGCGGATGACCTCCACCTGAGGGCCCAGCCACTGCGGGGAAGTTCGCAGCGCGTATCTGTCCTGCTTGGGCTTGCGCAGGGGGTCGGTCTCATTGAACTTGGCGGCAGCCTTCATGAAGGAACTCCCGTCCAGCACCCACTCCATGACAGCCGCAGCTTCCATCTGTCCGGGGTGGTGCTTCAGCTTGTGAGTCAGGGGGTCGGCAAATTCGGGCTTGCCCTGCATTACCTCGCAAAAGAGCGCGGACAGAACCTCGGCGAGCAACACCATGATGTTGGCATCGTAGCACACGGTGGAAGCGAGGGCGGAACCGACTGCGGTGCCGTTGACAAGGGCGAGCCCTTCCTTGGGCGCCAGCTCGAAGGGCTTCTCCACGCCTGCGATGCGCAAGGCCTCCAGCGCGGAAACCTCTCGTCCGTCCTCGGTGACGGCTTTGGAATTGGGGCGACCGGTAAGCAGGCCGGCGATATACGACAAGGGGACGAGGTCGCCGGATGCCGTGATGGTACCCCGCAAGGGCAACTTGGGGGTGACGTGCGCGTTGAGTAGCTTCTCCATAGCTTGGAGGATCTCCCAGCGGATGCCAGAATAGCCCTGCATCAGCGTGTTGGTACGCACTAGCATCGCCGCTCGGGCAGTCTCGGATGGCAGGGAGTTACCCTTGCTGAGGACTCCCGCATTCAGGAAGCGGATGAGTTCGCGCTGGAGCTCCACTCCTTGCTGCGTGCGACGATGAGAGGTCGCTCCGAACCCGGTGGTAACGCCGTAGATGTCACCTCCGCCCATGATCCTGTCGAGCACCCAGTTGGAGCTCTCGTCCACTCTACTCTTGGCATTGGCAGCATCGAGCACGACATGCACGTCGGGTCTGCGAGCAACGGCTGCTACCTGAGGTACGGTGAGGGTGGCTCCCTCGATCATGACCTGGGTGGCATTTTGGTAAGTGTCGACCATCCGCTTGATTTCTTCGAGGTGGCTGCATTCCATGGCCTTGGCGGTCTTGGCCCAGTTGAGAGGATCCGCACCATGAACTGCTCCATTACCGAGTAGGCCAATGCAGTACGGAGATGTGTTATCATCGAGCATCATCATGTCTGAAGATGCCGCATCAATTTGCTCACCTGATCCGACGACATTAAGCTCCCCAGCTCGTGGTGCCATTGTTGGTATTGAAGACCTGCAATTACACTATCTGTCGAGATCTACTGGGTGCGCGGAGCTACGCAAGACTGTGATGTACTGAGAGTTCGAAGTCGTGCAGGAAACAATCTCAACCAAGCAGCAGTAGCAAACTTTGCTGATCTTTCAAGAGATGGGAGGTGAATCAATTGCTGAAGGGTGGGATGCAGGCCCTGTCCGGCATTCGCTGGCATTCGCTGCTTGAATGGGCCTCAGGGCGAAGTGAAGATTAATGAGATTCGGGGAATGCTCTTTATGCAACTAATGCCTCTGGCTAGAGCGCGGTGTTCGCCGTCGAGAGGTATCCTAGCGGCTGGCCCTAGTCCATAAAGGTGGGTGTATTGCGGTGAAAGCAGTCCGAGGTGGCGTTGAAATGTTGAAAGTGGTGCCCTTCCTGGACCTATGAGCCTCCTGCTGCCACATGAAGGATGAGAGTCCTCCAGATTGGTTCATGATACACGGTTGTTTGAAATTTAGTTCGCCTGTCGTTTACTTCAACACTAGGTCAAACTACAATTCCCCTCATGTTCTTGTCGGTGATTCGCAGGTTCTCTGGGGTGGACCCAGTTTCTATTGGAGGAAAGTCGGACGCGTGTTCTTGTTTGGAATGACGAAGGCGCTGCGATTCTTCGTGGTCTTCAGCCTGACTCTCAGAGTCTCCCAGTCACGCTGGTGTGCTGGAATGGATCGTTCCGCTGATGTCGAAACTGACCAAAATATAAGATTTCAAAGGGCCAAGTCAAGACCAGGAGTTCTGTGCAAAACTCGATTGCGAAATTCAAAAATTGTCGTGCAATTGTGAAATTCAAAATTCGCCTCCAGACGGGATGTGTACACATGGAGTAGCAGAGTGGTGGGGTGAAAGCAGAAAAAAGGTCAACCGCTTTCAACAGCGATGACTCCGCAGAAAGTTCCTGATGAAAGTGCCAACATCGCGATGCTCTTAAAGGGCACACGCTGTGCATGAAAATAGCAGGGTCGATACGAGCTTGAAAACGGAAGTCGCCACCCAACTACACCGTCTATCATTTCTCTGGCAATCTCTCCGATCGTTGTACTCAAGTTACTTACGAAAATAAACTAGCTCGTGGCGAACTAAGAGAGTGGGGGTGTCTCCGCAGATCCCGACTGGTAGCATAACTGAATCGGTGCGTAGAACAACCTCTCTTGTTGCAGGATTAGCAGACAGACAAAGTCGGAATACGTTTGGCAGCACAGATTGAGAACTAGAGTGAGGAGATCGACCGGGGTTGTCCAATGGCTTCTGCTGGGGATGTTACGAGGGCCGCGCTTCCCAGGGCCCAGCCCCGCGCTGAAGGGCCAGCCTGCGTGCTAGGCATCGGCACTGCGGTGCCTCCCGCGGAGTTTCTGCAGAGTGAGTACCCCGACTTCTTCTTCAACATCACCAATTGCGGCGAGAAGGAAGCCCTGAAGGCCAAATTCAAGCGCATCTGTGACAAGTCGGGCATCAGGAAGCGCCACATGTTCCTCACGGAGGAGGTGCTCAAGGCCAACCCAGGCATCTGCACGTACATGGAGCCCTCCCTGAACGTCCGCCACGACATCGTGGTCGTCCAGGTCCCCAAGCTCGCCGCCGAGGCCGCCCAGAAGGCCATCAAGGAATGGGGCGGCCGCAAGTCCGACATTACCCACATCGTCTTCGCCACCACCTCGGGCGTCAACATGCCCGGAGCCGACCACGCCCTGGCCAAGCTGCTCGGCCTGAAGCCCACTGTGAAGCGTGTCATGATGTACCAAACCGGGTGTTTCGGCGGTGCATCCGTGCTCAGAGTGGCCAAGGATCTAGCCGAAAACAACAAGGGCGCCAGAGTGCTGGCAGTAGCGAGCGAGGTGACCGCAGTCACATACCGAGCCCCGAGCGAGAACCACTTGGACGGGCTTGTGGGCTCAGCTCTGTTCGGCGATGGCGCCGGCGTGTACGTGGTTGGATCCGACCCCAAGCCTGAGGTAGAGAAGCCATTGTTCGAAGTGCACTGGGCTGGAGAGACCATCTTGCCAGAGAGCGACGGAGCCATCGATGGACATCTCACCGAAGCGGGGCTCATCTTCCACCTCATGAAGGATGTACCCGGGCTCATCTCCAAGAACATCGAGAAGTTTTTGAACGAGGCCAGGAAGCCAGTGGGATCACCGGCATGGAACGAGATGTTCTGGGCGGTGCATCCCGGAGGTCCAGCCATTCTCGATCAGGTGGAGGCGAAGCTGAAGCTGACGAAGGACAAGATGCAAGGGAGCAGGGACATATTGTCCGAGTTTGGCAACATGTCTAGCGCCTCTGTGCTGTTTGTGTTGGATCAGATTCGGCACAGGTCTGTGAAGATGGGTGCGTCCACTTTGGGCGAGGGCAGCGAGTTCGGATTCTTCATTGGCTTCGGACCAGGACTGACACTGGAAGTGCTTGTGCTCCGCGCCGCTCCCAACTCCGCTTAGATTCCACCCCACCTCTCCTTTTTACTCCCCATTCTCACCAATTTGTATCATATCATATTATTGCATAGCATTGCATAGCATAGCATAGCATAGCATAGAAGTGTGCAATTCAATTTCAATGGTATTGCTTCCTGAGCTAGAGTTCGCGCTTAATTTAAAAGAGAAATCAGGTTATCGAATCAACCTACGTTCTTGCTTCAGCGAGCTCTTTACACACTCTGAAATCTAGGGTTCCACTGTTTCGTATCCGGAACCTGAACGATCTGGCGCCTGTGGGTATATTTCTCTCGCTGTGCTAAATTGGCAGTGCATCTACTCTAGCGTTCTTATTGTTCACTCAATTTATTTCTGGAAGACAGGAGTTTGGCAATGTATAGTCACAATGCAATCAGAGGTGCGAAGTACAGTCTTATTTAGAAAATTAGGGCTGGAAGAAGATGAAGTGGGAGTGTGTAGTGCGCATTGTGCCGATGGATCTGAAATTCATCAGGAATGTAATTCATCGGTGATCTCCGGACCATGTGTTCGTTTGAGCTTTTATAATTGCAGCCTCTAAGTCAGCTGCGATTGTTCGACACTACCCACTGTTTCTTTGAGCTGTTTCTCGTCACTTTTGAATCTGTTGCTGTAGCATTGGAAACTGAGAAGAGAAGGGTCTGCAAGGAATTGGTTGGTTGCATTGAACTCATGGTAGCATGGCCCAGCCAACAATTAATGAAAACTGTGATTTGTTGTCTGTCGGTCATTGAGAAAGTTAATCCTCCACCAGTTTCAGTGATATCTGGACACAAACAGTGGGTGTTTCACTAAATTCTCAAAATTCAAATGCAGTTGGAATGTGTTAAATGGTGTGGTATTCAAGACATTTTGGGCTTGGTGTAACATAAAATTCAAATATTAGGCATGGTGTGATGTAATATCCAAATTTTGGGCATGGTGGAATATAAAATCCAAATTTTGGGCATGGTGGAATATAATATCCAAATTTTGGGCATGGTGTAATATAACATCCAAAGTTTGGGCATGGTGGAATAAAACATCCAAAATTTTGGGCATGGTGTAATATAATATCCAAAATTTTGGGCCTGGTGTAACATGCATAGGGTTAATAAATAAGGTTAAAATCATCTGATCAGAAAATTTTGAAAACAGCTGTATCTTGTGCTAATGATAACATTCAAATTAACCAATGCTTGAACAAATTCATGAAAGTTTGGCACACCAATAGGGAAGCTTGGACACAACGGAAGCAAAGTCACAAAATAAAATAAAGGGAAGATCATCACATCAATCGCTGAACATCCATCCTCCTGAACTCCACTAAACGTACAAAGACAGCTAAACAAATTTGAACAATCCATGACCACTCAAGTAGATGTCTTGGCTGTTGCTGAAAGTGAACTCTTATTCATTTTTGCTTGCAAACAAGAGACTCACCATAATAGAACCTTTCTTCCTCTTCTACTTCTAAAGTTAGGAAATATATACACAACTACGCATTGCAATTGCAATTTAAAAGCCCTGAATGGATTCTAGTGCTTTAGGCTTATGCTCTTTGCAATAACAGAGGTTTTGGGTGAACACAAGAATCTCCTACTAATGTACAATGTTAATTGTAACGTCAATGTGACGCACTTCCTACTAATGTACAATATTAGTTAATTGTAACGTCAATGTGACCCACACGAAGATGAACGGAACAAAATTGGGAGGTGAAGCAGCATGAAGACGTAGTCATTTTTATTGATAAGTGGTTTTTTAAGTCACTTTAGTTTTGTTTTCATTTCTTTTAACTGAGTGGTGCATTAAAACTTTATTAATTGGAATGTTGTTATAGGAAGTTGGTGTGAAAACAACATTTCCTATGGTTAGTTGACTTTATCACTTATAATATTACTAATTTTTGGTATTTGTGTATCTTGTGTATGATGTAATGCGAACTGAGCTCATAGCTTTGTGTTTTTTTTGCAATGAAAGTGTTTTGGTCTTTTTTTTGAAGTTAGTTAATTATGGACTTAGTAATTATAATGTTCTAAATCAATCGCCATGTTGCTTAAAATCTAAGAAATCTTCATTTATCTTAGAAACCTAATTTCTATAATCCTACTTACTAGAATTTTAATAATATTTTATTTGACCATTCTATCGAGTTCAATTTTACAATACTCTTATAATTCAATTATAATTACAAATCTATAAAATTTTACTTTGTTGATTTATTTTAAAATAAAATTTTCTATAATATAATACTTCCCTCTTACTTTCACCTAATAGTGGTGTTATGATACAACATTACCTTGAGTTTAAAACTTCTTTTATTTCAAACTCTTAGTTATGTATTTTTGTAGGAGATATTGGTAATTACTTTCTTTTTGGGTTATTAATTGCAATGAAAGACTCAATGAGAAAGAAGGAGATTACATCATGGATATTGAATGACTTTGATAATTGCAATCAATATGCAACTAAATTTATTTATTTTTAGATACGAAATGAGTAATAATATAATTTCTCAACTCATACAAATACTCATTTAATTTAACATTTGACTTGTATTATAATAAAGAGAAGTACACAAAATCTATAAGACAAGTAGTTACAACTTTCTTAGATAACAATTGCAATGTAATTTAAAATTACATAATTGCATACCATACTTATTACAAATATACTTTGAATAAAATTTTATTTTGCAATTCATACTAATAAGATAGGTGTGTGTTATTACTATCAAGATTCAATACTATCAACTATTGTTGTCTAGATTCTAAACTACACTTGAACTAAGATTTAATAAAATTTTAATGTAACAGAATATAATAATGAAACTTAAAGAAAATTAAAAAAAAAAACAAAAAATTGGTGTAAGACAAAGATGGTATTTTGTGCCCCTTGCTATAATGCTAAACCTATTGTTATGGAGTGTCTTGTGGAGAGGCTATTCTAAACCTCAATACTAAGTTGCCTAAATGCTAAGTTTTACAATTCTCTTAATTACACCTATGTTTTATACATGTCTATTTTATCAAATTCATGTATTTTTTTGGGTTTGGTTAGAGTCGGTCCAATATTTTACCTGTAGCGTAATATTTGGTTGCTCAATAATAAGTTGCCCACAAAATATTGGACTGCTCCTTCTCATCCACACACACATGGTGTAAAGATGAAGTGAAATCGTGAAGGAACGACCTGGGCTCCTTGCTTGTCAAACAGATCAATGATGGTCTTCTCTAAAGTGAGTTCTGTATTGATATTTTTGTCAGTTTTTCAACTCTAGTAATGATAATTCCTACTGTCGACTACTCTGTATCTGTAAGATAAACTTCACAAGTAGGGTTCTGGCCAAAGACCATTGGCAATGTGGAGACGGCTCCTTAGACTTTCTCAGAATTAGTAGAGATCCTTGATGTGGAAAGCTGCCCTCCAGGGCCATGTTTTCAGTATACGAGGGTATAAGTCGATGGATCATGGCTAAGCCAGAGTGCAAGATCAAACAGAATTGAAGCGATAAACCACCTCGAACGTGACAAAAATTGTTTCTAATGTTCACACATTTGTTGCGACGGAGCATAGGTATAAGATCACTATAGGTCATTGATTCTTAACAAATTAGTGGACATTTAATTACTAAATTAGCCGATGTACGAAGAGCAGTGTTGTGTCAAGTTCCATCACCCCACTGCAGTGATATGTCTTTATGCAGATTACATCCTTGACGTGCCTATAATCGTTGAATTTGTGACGGTTAATTTTTATGTCTACTGCAATAGCTTTCCAGTTTTACGATAAGAGAAGCCTCTCCGCTGGATGTCATTTATTCCTGTCCAATAAATGAAGGGTGATCGTTATGGATTTTAGAAAAACGTATAAATCTTGATTCTCATCAAATATAAAATGGTGGGTAATTGTAGATCTCTCCATCTTGGCCGCGGTAGAGAAGCATATATGGTGTTCATCGCAAATTGACGCCGAGGCATGATCAGTGCTGGGAGGGGTTGAGGAAATTTGCGCATTACTGACCGAACAAATGAGATTATCACCGTAATCGTAAATAGTTAGTTTGAGGTAGCACGATTAGTGAGCAATTGGGTACCCTCCGGCTGTGCCTCTTTCTTTACCAAGCTTTTTCTCCAACTCTCCGCATTGCCATGACAATTCCTTGCCTGCCTTCCCAGTTGCATTGCATTCCCAGTTTTCTCCTCATTTTGGCGGCCATGAGGTCATCTCCTATCGCAGTTTCTGTTCATGAGCAAAACTTAGGTTGCAGGGCGTAGCGTTTGTTGCCGGTTGCGGATATATATCGAGAGCGCGGGTCCATTACTCTTCTCATCGATTCTCATCGATGGTCGAGTATGCGTAGGTAAGCTTTGGTTACTTCGTCGGTGGATTCTCATGTTGTTTGCTTCTGCCCGGAGTTCGGCTACAGGACTTGCAGGTTGGGTCGATTCTCGAGAGGTTGCGATATGATGAGAAGTGCTCGGCCCGAAGTAGAGGAGATTATGTGCATTCCTATATCATTATACGAGACAGAGCTTTTGTATAATATATGTTTATGTGCGAATTGATTCCACCATTTTGAGACGAATTGTTGACTATGTCCGATGAAGTTGACGAGGGTTCATCATGCTGGTAGAACTAAATGTTCTTCAGCATTGTGACGATTCCATTTGCTGACCACTAGTGGATGTTAGATCGATTTCGTGGTCCTTCCTTTTCAGCCTCATAATGCAGAGGAAACTTCAATCGGGGAGGTATGGTCTTCCTAGAATGCGAAATATCTTAGGGAACTCACAACCGGAGTGGCTGGAATGGGTTTATTCCAGGCATAGGCACCAACTGAGAAGCTGAGATTAATTGACTGCAACTATGGCCACGAATGATGACACAATCGCTGAGGAACTAAATGTGAGAGAGAAAGCATCCGCTCATGAACCCAGGATACCACTTGCTGTGGTGGTTAGCCCGGGCTCAATTTGTGGGCGAATTAGAGCTAATCCCTTGAAACACCTAGCATCTCTTCTGCATGAGAAACTAATGGCTGCTCAGGGCGGTCCATGCAATTTGCTTCAGGTACAGAGTGCTAGAAATATGGCCTCATGTTGCTTCCTACTTTTGCTTAACTTTTTAGTGCGCGCCAAGCACCCGAAACCGTTCCCTCCATTTTGTAGATGAATTCCAAGCAATTAGCACTAATTGACCCGCATTGAAAATGGCCACAAGTGCATTTACCTCGTAGTCGGCAGGCATGTGGTAACCCACAAGAGCTCCAATCGGCTTATGTTGTCAGAGTTAACAGATTGTAAGAGTGTGTGAACGGAATCTGACGATTGAATTTGAGGTGTGCATCATGGGTTGCTGTGTTTCAGGTTGCCACAGAAATTCATTCACAAGCAGAGGTATACTGATCACACTTTAATTGCTTGGATACTGTGTCGTTCCGGCATGAGTCTTTTGGTCGTCCCTTCTTTGTAGTACATTTTGTAAGGTTAATGTTTCGAACTTACTATGCACGTCCTATTACCTGCTGAAGTTAAGTAAATGCATGCAATGCACTGAAAAAAATGCATGCTAGATGTTTCCAATGTTAGGGGCCCGATGAGGTTGGTGTTCTAGAATCCTAGTTGACTTTGAAGACAAGCTCAATTCTGAAGGGTTCATCCGTCTTCGTCGGTGATGGTGCAGGATAAGCACAATACAACTTTACGGAGGATTTATGATGTGGTGAATGTCTGTGAAGGAGCAGGTAGATCTCATACTCCAATCTGATTTCATGACTTCTGTGAAGGGGTAAATGGGGTTCCGCTGCTATATTATGTGCTGTCAGGAAAATCAGGTGAGGAGGATGTTGAGAGAAAATCACGTCTCTTCATACTTCAAATTTTCTGTGTCAACAGTTAACGGTGCTTTTGATGAGGCTCTTGGTACCGATGCTTAAAATTGTATCACTGGGGTTGGTTTTGCATTAGGGGTAATCGTTCGAACAGGGCAAAGATCTCCAAAATCGAAGAAAGCATCGGCCTCTGGTCACATCGTGCCTCCAAAATGTTTCCCCTCCCGGCGAACAGGAAAGAGGAGTCTTAGGGGTGGAGCCACAATCCAGTAAGTCGTCATGGATCCATCAAGGTCCCCACCTAGACTTACTGACACAATCTCAGTGGTAAAGCCAGTCTGGCAAATTCGGAGCGAAAGTGAAAGTTCCTTTCAATGGATCTCACCTAGTTTTCAGATAGAAATTCTGCGTTTCAGATCAATTTCACTGCTGTTCGTTCTAGATGGCAAAAAACTAATTCATGGTATCAATAGAAGGTATATGTTTGCTCAAGATTCATATTGCCTGGTTATTGTCCTAGAGTGCTATTTTAAATTCTAGCTGTCCCCTTGGCTTTGTAATATAAGGTTCATGTGTACTGCGCACCATTCTTCTTCCTCTTCCTCTTCTTTTTCCTCTTATAATTTTTAATATATTTTGAAGTAGATGTCATTCCGATCTTCTATGACGTAGTTCTAGCATCGACCCCGCTGAATAACGTTTTAACTTTTTTAAGGGTGTTGGCAGATGGTTGAGTGCCTCTTCCTATAACATTCTTGGTGAAAGTGACAGCAGTCCGCCAAGCCCTTGCAAGAGTCGCAAGATTCTGCTCGAGGTCTTGTATCTTGACCTATCTGTGGGCTTCTTTTTTATAGCACCAGGAAAACATCGAGTCTGCCCCAATTAACGAACAACTGTTGTTAAAGAGACTGATAATTCTTGCATTTTTTTTGTATCATTTCTTGAATAATGATACCATTTTTATTAGACGAATTGTTTCTGCTACATACATGGAAATGAAGTTATTTTTTCTAACACAGACGGAAAGGAGAGAAACTTTTGAGAGGATACTTCAGAAGAAGAGGGTCTGTGACACCTTAAGCAAGCAGGTATGCCCTCAGCTTTCTGATTTCTGCCCTTGAACAAGTCTTTCTATGATTGGTATCCTTCTGTATATTTATTCATACAGGTACCTAAAAGTTAATCTCAAGGTCAGTCCTGGCGGTCAAGGTACTGAGGGCCTTAATTCGACTTCAAGGTATTAGAGCAAAGAGTCGAGCTGAAAAATTCTGTGCTAACAACTTGAACATGTTTGTCATCTTTCAGGTAGCGATCCTCCAAAAACTTATGGAACAAAATCAGAGTCAATGCCGTTTGAATCAGTGCGCTTCGGGTAGCATGGGCTGCACCGAAGTCGAGTTCCCTGCGCACTTGCGCATGCCCCGTTCATTAGAAAGGGCTAGCACCAATACCGAAGTTGCCTCGGTTAGGCCAGGAATGGAGTTTAGCAAAATTATACTGGACCGTGACATCTATGCCGAGCTGAACAACTTAGATTGTGAGTATTTAGTGAACCAGCAACGGCTATGCACATCAAAACTCTTGCATCTTCCATTCGTGATGCTGGCAACTAATCCAGATGCGTAAGTCCCTTCTGCAACTTTTCACTTTTGCTAATTTTATCTCCCGGTATCTTCCCAGATAGTCCCTAAAAATTCGTCATATCCAGGAATGGCAGGAGTAGAAGATGTTTTCCGTTCACGATTTTTCTGTACACAAGGTATGGGTCAATCTTAACTTCATGTGGTTTGTCTTTTCTTGGTTACATACAGAAACTTGAATATCTACATGATGGGCGACCCGCCCCATGAAGTACGCCTGCAGTTGGATCGAAATTATTGCTTGATGGACCACATCCAAATGATTAAAATGTTGCCAAGATTCTCCACTATGTGAATAACGCTAAAAAGGGCTAATTCCTTGCACCCTGATGTCAGCTGCTGTTGTAGCTGAATATTCTTTTGGATCTGGATAATGTTTCTCTGTACTTAGATATTTTGTTTCTTGTGTACGACTGAGTATCAAACCTAATAAGACATCAAGTAGGACTTGGAATTCGATACAGCCCTGCATGCATTTGGGACCCTCTCAGGCATATGCAAAGAAAGTGCGTCTCCATGGCCTTGACCACGCATTCCGCAGAGGGTATTAAATTCATGAAGGGATGATAGGTAGAAAAGAATAATAAAGCAGAGTGGGATTACAGTGCTCGGAAATCCCACAGACGAAGAGTCCAATCCTTAGCTTCCAAAACATGTGACACTGATGACAAAAATGCAATTCAATTTCAGAAACAAATTGCTTCGAGGAAAAACTCTTCAGGTTTTCTGCTTCAGGCTTAGAAATTCAAAATCAGAATTGCTGCCATCATACAAGCTACTCCTAACCCTCCAACCAAGGCCGAATTTCTGTAGAACTTGAATTTGTCCATTTAATGTTGATAATACTGCCGGCCTTATAATGTTTGTGCTCCCTGTCTCGTTCTGATTAATTGAACCCTCCGAATTCATTTACCAATGGTTTGTACTACAAAAATAGCTGAAACGAGATGTATACTAACACCAGATATACAAACTACCACGGCTTGAGCCAAGACTGACCAAAAGGGATCGTAACATTCTCATATGTTGAGGATGTATGTTACCGATTGCTTCTGCTTAAAGGTAAAAATTTACAGAACAAGTCCAGGGAAGGGTGGCCATCAGATTCATTGTTCACGACACTTGCAATGAAGAATGCTTAGATTACCTACCCCAACCTTACATCAGCATTAAAATCACACGCAAAGGGATTATCTGCATTGAACCTTTATAACAACGTCTAAGTTCTGCAATAAGAGATTTTTGGACTGCTACCCGGGTCCCTCACTCGTGAACCTGCCCCAACATAAAAGTCAAGCCCTGTTACGTAGTTAAATTCACCAACATACCTCAAGTCATGGACCGTGTTCTGCACATGTCATAAACTGGCCTCACACATTATACGGCCGAGTATAATAGCAATTCAAGATCTGAGTGTAATAAAATTACACACAAAGCAAGCGCAAAATCCAATTGATGGAGGCTGAAAACTTTCAAAGGCCCACCTTCAAATCCAAAACTTCCTGCTCTTCGTTGCCAAGTTTCACAACCATCACGCCTTCCCTCCTTGTTGTAGTCATGAGCCACCCAAAGAGGCATGTAAATATATTTGCAACTAATCGTGATTGAAAAAATATAGCAGTTGCCTAATATACACTATCGCAAAATACAATAAACTTTTCGAGGAAAAATGTCGCTTAACCGAGAAACAATTAGTTGGAACCAGATAAATTGTACTGCAGATTGTACGCACTCAGGATTGTAAACTGTCCTTCTCTTTCAATTGAGTCTCTAAGGTCAGAAGAGTTTGTATTGTTTGGACGACCTCTCCAGGATCTGGAAAAATAGGGACTCTGTATTAGTCATCATGTCGGGCTTGCTAAGGGGAGACGACTCAATTAAGGCCAACGAAATTATATTCGGAACAGACGAAGTGGGAACCATGATCGACAGCAAGAAGAAACATTGAGGTGCATGAAATGAAAAGACCTCAAATCCATGTGTATCACCACGAAAATTGTCTGTGCATCCCCAATGTTTTATAAGAATTGAATCAGGACTCACACCTTCAAGCCAGCAATTGTGACGCTAAGATCTTCCAAGCTGGAAAAGGGAATGGAACTTAGTTATCAAGGATAGATCTTCCAAAAAAAAAATAGAATGATATAATGTAACATAAATCCTACCCAACATTCCATCCTAACAGCACCATGAACAATCAATGGTAAAAGGAAACCTACATGCTAAAGAATATACAATATAATTTTCTCATCTGAAAGGATAAAAAATTGCTGTTTCCTGATCAGACACAAGCTGTAAAGAAACGCGACGCATTCAATACCCATGATAACATAATTGCTTTCTAGGAATGAAAGTCGTATATCAAGATGTAGTATAAACCTACAGACAAAACCTTATTTACCATGCCGGCTGTTCCAGGACCCTGCTCTTATACATCAATTAGAGAAAAAAATTCACATGATGGATGCCATAATCAGCGTCAGGAAAACGTCTTTACAAGTTTAGACAAATTTGTTCTTTCTTCATCAAATAATTCACTTCTATTCCACATTACACATTCGAAAGCTCTCTTCTAGCTCAGTCATCGTGGCCTTCAAAACATGGAATACGTAACACTCCGAGTACCTCACCTATCATGCCATTATTACAGCATGGTTCTTCATCAAAGTCAAACATCTCCTGAAATCCAAAAAGCATGTCAAGTAATATTCGCTAATTGATATATCATGTGCCTCCGTATAATACGGCTCCACATATCTGATACTTCCAGCATGGAAGCTTATGACAACTGAAGTAAAACCCTCGCGAAATTTTTACCGAAAAGAAGAACAATGTTCACGTCAACAGTTGGCATTTGTGGTTAAAATACACTGATCAACTCACTTCTGCTGACAACAGTGTCAGTTGTATAATCGAAGCATCCATATTGCCAACTTTCCTGTACAAGTCCACTTGAAGTTCTGCACTCCTTCCTGAGAGTCTTTAATAAGAATAGCAAAGACTTCCCTTGTGGAGCTCGCTTGAAGGCCGCAGCGGTACCATTCCAAATTCCAACACATTGATAATAAATTCCAAAAATATTCATGAAACCGCATCCCATCCTACATTTAATTGAACCATTGCCAGGAATTTCGAATACAAAATAGCGCTAGCACATTTAACAAACCATAAGCCCGGTTCTGAAAAGGCGGGACAAGGGAATTCATCAGGGAAAACTGACATCGTCGGCGAAAACAATAGCAGTATGAAGCAACGCTTTAGACAGCAACATCCACGTCACTAGGCTATGAATTTCGCAGAGCAACTTTTTGGACACCTCTAGTGCTTATGTGGCATCTCGTCCTGTGTTAGCAAACACATCTTGTCCTGCGGAGTTTCGGCTTTCCATGTGACTTCCAAGGCACGTCAAGCTCATCAACGTCTGCGTCGGCGTCTGCCTCTGGATCATTATGGAATAATCACAGTATCACCGGCATCTCCTTTAGTGCCATTTTCAAAACCAGTATCCAGCGTCAAAAATGCTCACATTCTTCTGTCAACAAATGAACCAATATTGTTCCTCAACACTCATGATTATTATTCCATGTTATCTTTGAAAATCTTTGTTTATTTTATAATATTAAGGACAGTGTATTAGTTTTTTAGTATATGTCGCATTTGGAGATAAGGAACAGGGGACTTCACTTCTTCGACTTGTAAGATTTGTGTGATTTGTGGGATTTGAATAGTCAACTTTCAAAAAAAACATGTATCAATATCTGATAGACGGCAAGTTTTCCACCTTTGTACAGGTCAATAAAGGTATTCTTCAGCTCCGATCGTATTTGCAAGGTAACTATTATTGCATCAAAATGTTTTGTCCTTGTATATTTATAGTAAATAAACGACAAAGATCGCCGTTTCATCAGGTAGAATGGAACCTACTTGGAAGTGTCAACGACAAGTTCTACAGTTATTGATTTACTAAATGGGTAGATGCCTAGAATTTACGCCGCTAATTTTATAGCACCGTTAACCTTGAAGTACTTCATAAAGAATATTCTGTTCCCATACACTTATCTGAGATAGTGGGAACTAAAATTGATAAGTATTGAGATGTGAATTTGACTGAGGCATCATCACTGACAGCGGAGTTTTCATCATTAAACTTGTTCACAGCTTTAATCGTCATCGATTGAAGATCTGGAGCAGAAAATTGCTTGACCTTTTTTAAACTTACAGTTACAACATACACGTGATAGTACTCCATAAAAATCATTCCACGCAAACAGGGGGGGGAAATGATTAAAATTATCTACAATAAGTGATCTTGTACAACCTTAAGAACACACATTTTCACAGACATGATTCCAAGATCTTCAGCTGCCGCTGTTATCTGGGGTTGAACCTTGGTCTGCTCGTTGCGAAGCTTGGCCTCCGAAAATGGTCGGTTCATTCTTACGTTCATTTTAAGACCAGCGGTGTCTCCAGATTTCAATTTGGCTGCAAAGCTCTCGGAGCTTGCTAGAATTTTAGATTTCGGCGAATGTCGAAGCGGACGTCCTCCCCAGCTTGTCTCCTTGTTGCGATGAAACCGGCAACGAAAAGAGCCAACGTGACTGGTCGGTGCACAAAGACAAGGAACAGTTGCCGATGATCGACTTCTTGCGGTCCAGCTACTAGAATCGATCGCTGCGCTTTGTCTGGCTCCCCGATGAAGTCGGCATCGAAAAGAGCCCTGATGATTCGTAGGTGAACACAAGCATGGAGCCATGAGGATCGTTCTTGAAAAAATCAAGACTATACCCCTAAAAAACGGACGTGCGAACCTTCCTTGATTCTGAGAAACTTTGTGAAATACTGCAGAATGAACAAATTCTGATTCATTAGAATCAACACACTACATCTCCAATGCAGGACGTGAAGAACATAAAGCAGCATCTTCTCTGGCCTGATGTACGTCGCAAAACGACATCACTAACTGGTCAGGGACAAGCAATGTGCGAGACACACATCGTGATACCACTCTAGCCCGGGCACACAATGCAAAATGAGAGTGTTGTGGAACACAGACAATGCCGCATCATTACAAGAATTCACAAACAACGGAAAACGCACAACGAAAACGTCCACAACGACACTTGCTGCAACTGCGACATTCAAAATTACAGATCTCCTCGACGTACAAGCCCGAAACATCCAACTCAGACAACTACACTTGACCACAAAAATGTATTGAACGAGAAAACTAAAAGATTACTGTCCTCGAAAATGCAGGATCATAAACTTCGAACTCCTACAGGGAGACCAGAGAAGCGATATATGTAGCTACTATAACAACAACAGCAACAACAGGAACTAAGCCACAAGTAGCGACCAGAATGCTACCAAAAAATTCAAGAACAGTAACTTTACCTGGACAAAGACGGTATCAGCAATTCCAAACTACATCAACGACTGTCTCGTGGCACGGACCTGAAGGATCAGAAGCAAGAATGGAGAAGAGCAATTGAGGATGACAGAGACCACGAAGATGGAATGATATAGGGGACTTTGAGGAGCAGCTGCGATGCCAGGACATCAGGAACAAGACGGATGCATGGAATGAAAACACGGAATGATTCTGATGCTGCTACTGCTCCGGCAACACTGCACTTAGCTTGGAGAGGACATGAACCGAGTCGCCGTTCTTTCGGCTGCACCTAGGCTTCCCCCACTGCGGGGGACGGCGGAATGAGTCTCCACTCCCGAAGGAGCGCGACTCACTCCCCGGACGCATTCGCCCTTGCTATTCTGATCCATCCCCCTCCTCTCTCTCTCATATAGGCCCCTGTCCAGCTCACAGTCAAGCGATGAGACGGGGCTCCCAAGCATCGTCGGAACAATATGAGCCGGCACCTCCTGCTTGGCCATATTTAGCTCATCTGGATTTGAAGACATCAATCTAATTTTAGGGTTACCGTCGAGGAGTGTGAATCCTCCACTACAGGCTGCTTTTTATATTTCGAGTCAAGGTCATTTGAATACCAGGGCGAAGGGCAAAATTCAATCCTGTCGTTGATATACTAAGGTTGGTTTTATAGGGCTTTACTTTTTAAGTGTCCAAGTCATGTTTTGAAAGTTGCAATTTGTTGCCCAATTTTATTACTTTTAATAAATCGTTTGAATATGGCTTGAAGTGTAATGAGAGTATGATACTGAGTTTTTGAAGACAATTTTTTTTAATTTTAAAGACATTCTTGAAGTTGCACCAAAATTGATTTTTTATTTGGTCCCAAGCTAAATTTGTTAGATTCTTTTAAAACATTTCTTATACTAGATCCACTTAATTCCTATCTCATTTATGTATTATTAGATCTCTATAAAGAAAAAATTGTAATTTTTCAATGTATGGTCATTTTTTGTCCAACATTTGACATGTTTTTTGTTATGTAACTATTGATCAAATATAAAAAATAAAAAAAATAAATAAATAAATAAATACTCTTATGATGTTAGATAATATTTGATATCTAAAAATTTATGCATGTTTGTAATTTCTTTAAGTAGGGTGTTACTTTTTATTTTTAAATTTTATTTGTATTCAAGTTTACTTAACAATTGGATCTTATATTAAAAGAAGGAAAAACAAACAAACTTAGATTAGAAAAAATTATGGCAAGTGGTTGTAGAAATAGTAGTGACTGAAATCCTAACTACCAACAATTTCTTAAAGTTTTAATTTCAAAGGCTTATTGCTAGCCACAAGGTGACAAAGAAAGAAGATTTAAAGAATTCAAGATAAAATATCTTAAGATTTAGTTTTTCTATTTTAAAATATGAATATAAGGATAAAAGATTCTATATATTTTTATGGCTAAGATTGTTTTAAAAACAACTAAAATGACTTAGAAAAGTAGAACATCCACTTAGAACACTAATTTAACTTCTTCTTTGATATAAATGAAGAGGGATTTTCAATTTTATCTGTTATAAATGACTAGGTAGTTCCTTAACATAAAACTTCATGGATATGTTTTGAGAAGATTAATTTTTTTAAATATATTTTTTAAAAAATAAAATATAACCGTGAACTTAAAGTAGCCTGATTAGCTTATAATCTAAGCTTAGCAAATCTATAGGTTCAAATCTTAGGATTTATAAGATATGTGAGTAAGAATTTTTTTATATATTAAGTTAAACTAATTACTTTTATATACATAAATTTTAAAAAATCCAAAAACTATAATTGTAAAAAAAATCTTTAAATAGTGATTGCAAAAAAATATAATAAAAGTTATTAAATTAGTTTAAAATATTCATTCTTAAATACATATATGTATATATATTTTAATTTTGAGATTATAAATTTTGATATGTAAGGACTTTAGTAATTTTGTAAATATATAAATATAATATTCCATAGAATTTTTCACATATAATCTATAAAACAAAAATAATGTATGTATTTTTGTATTTACTTATTTATAACTTGTAATTCCAGATTAAGAACATATATTTTTATTTTTATCTTTACTTTTTCTTAAGCCTTAAATTCAAATTAAATATCTTTATAATTATATAATATTTTCAATATGAATCATCCTTCTATTTCCCCAGTGCTAAGCTCAAAGATAAATATAAATATTTCTATAAGTTATATTTTAAACTTGGCAAATATCAGATTAAATCTAAACCAAAGCTCCATGTATTCTATTTTTTTTAATATCAAATCATAATTCTTGTATGAAAACATGGAAGATTTTAAGGCTATCTTATTTGCAATCTTTACCTTTATAACAAGATAAGATTTTGTATAACTTAGCAAACCTCACTACAATATCATTTTTTCTTCTCTATATTACATCTTTTAGATTAAAGATGGTTTTACAAAGAAGATAAATTTAGATATTAGTTTCAATATGCAAATACAAATTATTACAATTGAGAGAAAGTATTAAATCTACTAATATAATTGCCTTCAAGAGTTACAAAGACTCTATTTCTATTATTCTTTTATTTATCAAGATTCTTATAAATTACAAAACTTTTAAATCTTCATAAATACTTTGATGATTTAATTAACTCTCAAATCTTAATATTTTCCTATCTAAGATATATATATATATATATATATATATATATATATATATATTTATGTATTTATTTATTATTTATTTTATAAATCCACCAATTTAGATGAATTAGTGTGACTTAAAACATACATTGGGGCCATGGATTTTTGAAAAGAGTTTTAGCCATCATTATTAATTATATATAAAAATATATATATATTTTTTAGATTAAAATAATTTTTTCTAAAATACTATTTTATGTAATTTATAAAATTAATATAAAGAATAAAAACTTAGATTTTTGATTTAAACAAAAAATTATTAGATAAATAAGAGGTTATCTAAAATACATCTAAGAGAGAAGAAAGTCGTTTGAATTGGATAAATTATTATATTACTATTTTATTTAAAATTTAATTTTTTTGTACAGTTTATCAAGAATAATAAATGAAGGAAATAATTTTGATATGATATAGATTTTTGCTATCATTAGAGATTTAATTTGGCGTAATTTTTTTATTCTTTAGTTATTGTCTAAATTTCAATCGAAAAAGATTTTGTGGCTCTAAAGAAGTTGTTACTAATTTATAAGTAATTTTATAGAAGTATGCACTAATCATTTTAAGATTTTATTGCATATTTACCTTATTTTCTTAAATGTAATATATATATAGATATATATAACTCATATTATTTTATATAAATTTTTTAAAATATTTCAAAATAATCAAAAATATTCAATATTTTTAAATTTTTAGAAAAATTACTATAATTTCTTTTAATTGTAATTCAAATATATATCAAAAGTTTTTTAGACTTGTTTAAAGGTCTATTATAAGAATTTAATATTTTAATTTTTTCAAAAGAAAAACTATACTTTTTAAAGTCTATTTTTATATTTTACTTCTTTTATTAATATTTTTTAAATTTATTTTTAAACACATAAAATAAAATAAAATATTGCATGTGATAAATTGGACCAATCTTTTAAGACTTAAACTTAAATCTTGAAGTTTTTAAAGGAATCAAAATTTATCTTAAGCATTGGAAGTTTTGAAGGATCTTGGTAAAATTAAATGAAATATTTTATAAATAGATGATCAAATAATGCTATATTTATTTAATTTTTAAATATAAAAATATAATTTAATGTTGAAATTTTTATTTTCTAATTTCATTAATTTCTTTTTATATAACCTAAATTAGCTTTTAAAATATCAAAACTTAACTTTTTCCACAATAATCTATTTATTTATAAAAAAAAAATCAATAAATTAAACTTCTTAAAATAATAATATATTACATCTACATTTTTATTATTTAGATTTCTATTTAATTTATAAAATTTTAATGTAATATTCTATTTATAAATATTTTATTATAAAAAATATAAATTATTTATAGAACTTAAAAGTTAGATAACAAAAACTTTTTTTTCTCCCTTAAGTTGTCTTTTGAATTAAAGACCTTTCATGTTTTACAAAAATGTAATAATTATAGGCTACCAAAAAAAAAAAACTTTTTTATTTTAAATTATTTAGTATTTGAAGTATTTAATGTAAAAAGTAAAAATAAAAAAAAAAAGTAAAAAAAAAAAATATGTACATCAAAAGATCAAGGTAGAATATAGACTAATAATCTACTATCTAATTGGAGTAATAGAATATGTCAATATCAAGCTTCATTCATCAATATATACTAATCTTTAATATTTTTTTCTATTGAATAATATATCTCTATTATCTTGCCAATTATACAAGGATTATTGTTTTTGGTTTTTATTTATCTTTCACTATATTTACAATGGTAGTGTCTTTCCTCTACCTTAAGCTATTTATCTTTATCATGTGATAATTTCTTATATCCTTGTGGTTTAGTCTAAATATTTATATTTTATTTTTATTAGAATTAGAATTATAAAAAAAAATTATGATTTTTTTGCCTCAAATATCTATTTTAATGATTATTATATCCAAATTTCTCTTCTATTTATTTGTAGAGATAAAATTTTATTATTTTATTTATTTAAATTATTTTTAATAATATCTAAATATTTATTATATTTCTATTCTTTTTATAATTATGTTTAAAATTTTTATTAACAAAAATATATTTATTATCTGCTTGACTTTGATACAATGCTAGATTTTTATTAAAAGTTGATCTAAGTTAAAATATTATATTATATCACCATTTTTTAGAAAATGTATAGTTTATTATATTGCAAAGAAAAATAGGTATTACAAACATACATATTTATAATATTGACTATCTAAATTAGAGAATTTACATAGAAGTAAGTAAAAGTAAATAATTTTAATAATATCTTATGAAAAAGCTTCTTAAAAGCTTCATAGACATGGATTTGACTTTCTTAGTATTAATATGTGATTGGTAGGTTAAATAATTAGCCAAAAAGTTGGTCTCTTATGGTACAAGTTGGCCGTGTGGCACACATATAAAAAACTTGTTTTACAAGTTAGACATGTATTTTGTAAGTTAGACATGTGTTGGATGTCTTATAAAATGTTGTTGTGTAGCTCCTAGTTAGATAGTATATATGAAGTCAAAAATGAAGCCTTGCTCATTCTTATCATTTCTTGTCTTACTTCTAGTCTAGTTTCAAAAGCCTTTAGTTCTCTAGTCTTTGGCAATAGCCATTATAATTTTTCTATATATATTTCATTTCTCTTTGAGACACATCCTACTTGTTTATTTATTGTATTTGAGCTCTTGTTCTTGATAATAGATTTTATATAGTCAATATATTCAACAACTAAGATAAAAATTTTAAAACCACCATTTATATTTATACTTTATTTTTTTGTAATATATTTTGTGAATAATCTTTTTTTAATGTGATTATTTATACATTATAATTATAAATCAATAGTGTAGATTTAAGGTATGTTAGTATATTTGCTTATGACACTTATAAGTTTGTATAATTAATGTTTATTTTACTTAAATAAATATAAATAAATAAAAGAAGTAGAGGTAGGTAGAACATATTAGGTTGATAATATCTTCTTTAAGAAATTTTTAGGGAGTTTCCTAGATATGAATTAGATCTCAGCTTTCTATAGATATGCTACATACCTATTGAAACTTATTCCATACATTTTCTACTTTTAAAAAGTCGTTTTAGGAACAACCTAGAACTTGATATTTAGGCCACAAGTCTTGTGATTTTTGGGAAGCTTCTATATGACATTTTTGGTAGTTAGTATATATAGAGGCAAGAATGAAGTTATCTTCAATCTTATCAATTTCTTTTTTATATTGAAGTCTTAATTCAAGACTCTCTAATTTCTTTCTATTTAGCAACAATCATTTCAATTCTTTTCTATCTTAAATATGTATCTTTTCTTCTTACTTTCTTCCTTCTTCACTAATATAAAAGTATATTGTCTTTTGGATTTTTTTCAGATTTATGTCCAAACAAAAATTTCATTGAAATTACCTTAAAACTAATTAAAGTGTCATTATTAGAATGAAATTTTTAACTTATACAAATATTTGTTATTAGATTTTTTTCTTCCATTATATTATTTTTCAAATATTTTACAAAAATAATCATGTTCAAGATGTTAGAATCATTAAAATTTTAAATTGCTTTAGAGTTGATATTTAATTCTAACCTTTAAAAGTAAATAAATTGGTTGTAATTTGGTATGGTGATTGTATTATAATATTTTTTTTTTTTAATATTTTTTTTAGTTTTTTTTTTAAACTAAATCTACCAACTTTTTTAAGCTTAGATAGCTACATAAGATATGGATAAAATAAATAAATAAATAAATAAAATATAAGATAATAATATAATTTTAAAAAAATCTATTTTTGAGCAAATCATGTTATTTTTAAGATTCACCATAATAAGTTGTATTTAAATTAGAGAATCTAAATAGCTTTTCAAAAATCTCAAAGAAAGATCGTATTTGGTATAAGTTTTGTAGAATAAATGAAGTAGATTTTTTAATGTAGTCCTACAACTTCTAATAAATCTACTTCTTTTTTACCTTTTGTTGTGCATAAAAAATCTAATATTTTTTAAGAAAAAGTAATTTTACTTTCTAATATTAAGGCCATCTTGTGCTTTCTTTGCATAATTGACTATTATAAAAGCTACTACAATGCTTAAAATCATTGAATGCAACAAATAAATAAAATAAATATAATTACGAACATAAAACCATTTTTATCTTATTGTTACAACAATGTTGTAGATTTTTCTTGGTATTTTGATGATCAAACTTTTTATTTAAACCAATTATGATTCCTTGTATTGTACACCTCAAATCACTCTTATAAGACTAAAGAAACTTGCCAACTTATTATGTACTGCAAGATACAACTTATCTTACTTTTAAAATTTTTGATGGCTCTTATTCCAAAAGAATTATTAGTTGAATCTTTGCAACACCAACTTCTTTCTTCCAATAATATTGCTTGTTTTCATTAGAAGCCAAAGTGTCCTTTTGGTAAGTTTCGTAACTCAAATATAAAATTCACAAGGTCATACAATCAATAAACATAAAATTGTAAAATTACAATGCACTAGTGAATATAAATTTCTCCAACTAAATAACACATAGTCATGACAAACCAGTCTTCTTCTTTTATTTATTTTTGCAACTTCAGCATAAAGAAGTCAAACCCAATGTCTGCCTTTGCAACACAATACTCCATCGATACCCAAAAGCTAAAATCATACGACAACAATCATGCCGGAGGAAGCCCATGAGCAAAACTTTGCAGCAGCTGCAGCAACAACACGAGGGAAGACCAACAGTGCAATGCTCCAAAAGATCAAGAGCAGTCTCAAACTCGCAAACATGGCAAGTGCAAGCCCGAACTAACAAAAAAGAGTCAGAAAGAATCCACACACAGGATGAGAGCATTGTATTGAAAAAAAGAAGCTAAAGCTTGGTCTCAGTCTGCACTGGGTACATGTGCAGCATGTCCAGCATGCTCCGAGCTTGAGCCCGTTCCTTTTAATAGTAATGGCTTAGGTGCTTTAGTTAATGAGAAAGCAGTGTTGTTACAGGAAATATGTGCAGCTCAAGGCCCACCCAGCTTGTTGGGTGGCTGCATTGTGACGCTCCGGGTGCAGGCGTTGCTGCCACTTCGCTAAATTGAGAGGGAGTGTGTGAGCTCCCCTGGTGATGGTGTGTTTCAGTGCACCGCTTGGGGTGTCAGGACCGTGGCGTCAATGGACTTGGACTTGGAGAATGAGGCCTTCGGGTGGCCGTTCTCCTGAGCTGCTACAGTGGATGTGCTACTTGCAGCGCTGTTTTCCGTGTAGGCCGCGTCGTGGCATCCCAATGCTGCTCGGCCAGATGGGTCCAGGTTGCCCGCCCAGGACTTGTCCCATGCAACTGCTGTGGCCGTGCTACATGCGACGCTAGCACCTCCGGGGACCGTCAAGCGAGCGGATTGCTGCACACGGACAGGAGTTGAGAGATCTGGTTAGTGATGAGTCCGTGGCTGCATTTTGTGCTCAAGATGTTTTCTTTTGTATTGATAGAGCTTTGGGGGATGGGGGAAAAGGCCTGCAGGAATGAACAGAGTGTGGAGAGATAGTCGGCAGGGCTCACCTGCGGGAAGTGTTTCTCGAAGAGCATTCGGTAATAGTATGCTTCTTTAGTCTGCGGCGTGTTGTAGGGGTACACGTGCTTTGCATGCTTCAGCATTTGGTCGGATACCTAGGTTAGCAGCACAAGAGCAGGACAATTGAAGGTGTTAGGTATGAATTAGTCCCAGCAGTTTGTGGTTTTGTAGTTTCTGTTGAGAAACTTTGAACTGGTTGCGTGGAAAGAATTGATCAAACTCAATCTTGACGGAAGAGAAAATGAACGGGGAGATTCAGTACATGGCTCTGTGCATGAGCCTTGAGGCCGTCAATCCAGCTGTAGCCAACGCCATCGCTGAATTGCTCCTTCTGGCGATACAAAATGTGCTGCACAGAAAACCGTGCAACAAGTTTAGTTTCAGCTCATCGACCGGGGAAAATCTCTCCCAAACCAACAGCCTAACAAAAGACACGCATGAAGCACCAAATGAGAAACACACGCATTTAAATCTTGTGAACAAATCTCGAAGGAATCCACGATAAACAAAAATGATTTTCTTTGTGTCGGGAAACGGGTTACACACCTTGGGCAGGTAAGGATTCTTTTCGTCGTAGAAAGCTTTTCGGAGCACCCACTTCTCTATTCTTCCTTGGTCCTTCCTGATCAGCTTTTCCGCAGGATCGATAGCCATGGCAACTTCCATAAATTCTTTGTCTAGGAAGGGAACACGCGCCTCCAAACCCCAGGCAGACGTCGACTTATTGGCTCTCTGGCAATCATACATATGCAGCGCCTTGATCTTGCGAACAAGCTCATGGTGGAACTCCTCCCTGTTGGGCGCTTTATGGAAATAGAGGTAACCACCAAAAATTTCATCGGATCCCTCCCCAGACAACACCATCTTTACACCCAGAGCCTTAATCTTGCGTGTCATGAGGAACATGGGCGTGCTAGCTCGGATGGTGGTCACGTCGTAAGTCTCCACATGATAGATCACATCCGACAGAGCGTCCAAACCTTCTTGGACAGTAAAGTGGAACTCGTGGTGCTGGGTGCCGATGTAGTTGGCGACTTCCCGAGCAGCCTTCAGGTCAGGAGAACCCTGCAGATTGACAATCCAAAATCTCAGCATGCGTGTCAGGTGCCATACTCTTGCAAATCCGAATGGCGACCGGAGGCTCCAGCCTTTCGAGTAAAATTAGGAACAACGAGGGAGATCGTCGCAAATGTTTGGGGCTCAATGTACCTGAAGTCCGACGCAGAAAGAGTGAAGCTGCTTGCCCCAGATGTTGGCAGCTTTAGTTCCTGCGATATGACGGGATGCCACTGCTGCCACTAATGAAGAATCCAGCCCTCCGGATAGGAGTACACCGAAGGGCACGTCGGTCATCAGTCTCTTGATTACAGCCTGGAGGATTAGCAAATGCGCATGTTAAAACGTTGCTCAACCTGGGAGGGTTGAGAATGGAGTACGAGTCTTTTGGGAGGAATTGAATCTCAGCAACCTACCTTCTCGAAGGCTGCGCGGAGAACAAGAGACTGGTAAGGGGTGCTGGGGACAAAAGTCTCAGAGAACCAAGCTGGGTTGTAATATCGCCGAAGCCCTCCTTCAAAACCCCAACGACCGACAAATAACATAAGGAAACATCGATTCTAGTTCTAAAAATTATAGAAAGTCACTCCGAGCTTGAGTTAGCATCACAATTGGCAACCAAAAATGGCGAGACCCTTTAGCAGGCCAAGGACTAACCAGCTTTGCTAGAGTAGATGTGACCGGGTGGGAAAATCTCGAACCGCTCGCAATCGTCCTTCAAGGCCTTCATCTCCGATGCAAACCAAACACTTCCATCCGCACCCCAGCCGTAGTAGAGAGGGGTGATGCCAATGGGATCCCGGGCGGCGATGAAGGAATTATCGCGGTTGTCGACCAACACGAATGAGAACATGCCGTCCAGCATGTTGACCACGTCCTCGCCGACATCTTCAAACTGCAATCATGCGCAGATTGAGAAATCCTTTGAAATCTACCCCAAGGTTCCTGTAGGCTTAAAAGCTCAACGAATATGCTTACAGCAACAGAGTCACCAATCAGCTAAAGGAGGATGCTTACGAGATGAGCAATAACTTCACAGTCGGACTGCGTGTGATACTTGTGAGGCTTCATGCTCTTCTTCAAGGCCTCGTGGTTGTAGATTTCTCCATTGGCAGCGACGACGATATCTTTGTTCTCATTGTACAGAGGTTGGTCGCCCGAGGCGGGATCAATGATGGCCAAGCGCTCATGAGCCAGATAACACCAGCACTTCTGCCCTGCGAACAGCCCACTCCAGTCGGGACCGCGGTGGCGCAGCCTGCAAGAACCTCGTCAAAAAGCAGACAGAAAGAAAGAAAGAAAAAAAAAAAAAAAAAAAAAAAAAAAAAAATCTGCACACTGCTGCACCTTCTTGATCGTGATTCCGCAATACAAAGATACTCCTCTCTAAACCCTCATTCCTCCGTGATCGCACTCATTAATGCAACCGCAAATGGTCAAATTCTATTCAGTTCACCACGTTGCTGCATGCGTTACTTCAAGAACAGGACGCATGTCTTTTCCACAATGAGGACGCTTCCAGGACTCCGCAAAAGGCTGATGAGAGACCCAGAACTTGCATGCCATAAAAGCAATCACGGTAGCTAAAGACGCTGAGAACGCAATCGACGGTGTTCTATTCCACCACGCATTCCAGGACTTCTTAGCTAGCACCAACTAGTAATCCCAATTCTCCAAAGTAGTACAAAGCAGTAAACACTACCAGGATCCAGGCATCACCTGCGGGAAAGCTCCAGAATGCGATCACGTCGCGCAGGCGACGCGTCGTGGGAACCGAGAATAGCCAAAATTCCGCACATGACCGCTCCTCCGTGTGATCAACAAAGCTTCACAGAAGAAGATCAACGCTTGCAACGAAAATCTCTAGTGCAATCACTCCCCCACTACTACGTTCTTCCAAACTGACAACAACAACAATGATTGGTCTTGCACGAAACTTTTCGCTCTCGAACTACTGGCTCAACTCACAAGTTACAAAAAGTATCTCAAAAACAGACTAGCTAACAATCCAGTTGCTGATTGAATTGCGACCACAGATGGAACTGAGAGCTGCGCATGGATCGATCCCTCTGAGAAGAAACTACCGCGAGAGAGGTGACAGGAAGTTGTTGTGAGTGCTGCATCGACGCGACCTTATATTTGCCACTGAAGCTGTGCACGGATCCTCGGGTGCCGAGACGTGAGCGGAATCGAGGAGTAATTTCTGTGGCTTCTCGTGTGGAAGTTGTTCGGTACCCGTTACTCACAGCATTCCAAATTCAACCACTGGATGCCTTTGGTTTGTTTTTCCTCCATTTTTTTGCAATTTTATAATAATTTTGTCTCAGTTTTCTCCAACTCTTTCCATGCAGAGGCGACCAGCCCGTCAGTGCACAGGAATAGATGGTCTTGTCCTTTATGAGTGAAGAAAATGGCCACTGGTTTTGTGCAGATTGCCACTTGGGTCGATCTCTTTCAGCCCTTGCCTGCACCTTCGCTCTCCAGACGGCTCACGAATCCTTGTCCCTCCTCTCCGCCGAGGTCGAAGATCGTTGCTACCAGATGGATGAAAATGGATGAATATGTGTTAATGAGTAATCTCATAAGCACTGTCTCGTCGATGAAACGTGGAGTGGCCCCTCGGTGCATTCCAAATGGAAAGTCAGACGAATGCTGACCTGGACTTCTCCCCTTTGTCAGTCCTTTCCTATCCCCCCAGATGGATGACATCCCTCATCCACTTACCATCCCTTGATGAACGAAATTCCGTATACTACATCCACATGTCTACATTCATCCCGAAAACGCAAATTCTTGGATGACGTAATTCGCTCATCATCCGCATTATGGAATCCGTTTGAAGCTTCATCTGTTTGTTCAGGCTCGACGAGGTTCGGATTTACAGTCACTGTCGATCCGCGTCCTCGCCACTCATCCACGTATGTATTCTCACAGCCTTTGAAGATGCGCACCAATCCAGGATCAAGGGTACCAATTTTCCGTCATTTTTTAAAACTGTCAATTGAACTGTAGATGATTGTACTGAAAGATTGGGAGGCCGTGAGGGAGAATAGAGGTATTTTTTTATTGCGAGAGTGGAAGTTTTGCCCCACACTCAAAGGTCCCATGTGCCACGTCATTGATCTCACCGAGGAAGGGATTGTGCAACTTCGTGCGGGAATGCAGTCTCCACACGGTTACCACGGTTCCTATCACCGAGCATCTCTTTCACCCCCAAAGTCTACTGTGGATAAAATTTGGGGGCCTTTTCCAGTGATGGGGGATCCCCTAGATTTATACACCGCCTGGGTGTCTGCTACTCACCTTAAATGTGATGGGTTTTTTACCTACCTTCTATAGAGAGTTAATATATCCTCGGACACGTGGGAAAATCCCATGGAATCCTCATTTGCTTGTCATTTGATAATAGATTCCTCATTTGTTCGTGAAAGTCATTCAATCTCTCATAAAGTACTAACGTTGAGGGCCCTTGCCTTGCTACAAAAGTATTCGATAAAGTGCGTTGTTGACATTCCTTTGTATTTTTTAGTCTTTAAAGAATAAAAGTTCTTGTGATACTCATTGCAAGGAGTGTTTTCTTGTATTAATACAACCAATGACAATGTCAATTTCAATGTTCATATTTAAACAGGTGCATCTTATGAAGGTTTTGTTCTGAAGTTGTGAATTTAGCTATTATAGCAAGAAAATTCAATCCCATCCCTTATTCTTTATAATTGTATGTCATTCATGCAATATGTCTTATTATCTTTAAAATGCACTTGTTTAGGAAGAATCTTTGTCTCTCTTGTAAAAGAATTTACATCACTCTCCTTTGACAGAATATCTTTTTCTTTCTTTCCAAGAAAACTCCTCTCTTTCTTTGAGGAAATGATATTACAAAAAATAACCTTCCTCTATTGTTTTTTTAAGGAACATCATTTTGTAGCTTGTGAAGAGATCTTTAAATTTTTCTATAGAATTTTAGTATTGTTCGAGGAATCTATGTCTCTCAGAATAAAAATATGTTAGATTATGCTAAAAATATATTTTTTAAAAAATTATATTTTCCATTATTTTTCTTCAATCTCTTATTTCTTGTCTCTCATGTCCTATTTTATTTTTTCTTGCTTAAAAGAAAGGTGGAACTTAGAATTCAAATAATTTAGTAAAATTTGAATTCATAATACATTTAAATATCTGTTACAAATGTCCTTGAAAAGTATAGTCATATTATGAATGGATTTGATTTGCAAAAAGTACAACTAAGAATAAAAACATTTAAATTTCTATAAAAGTGATATTTTAAGTTTTTTACTTAAATTTTTTTTATTGATATTTTTTAAAAATTATAAAAAATCATTTTCCATTCAAGTTTTAGAAATGTATATATATGATTGATTCAAATTTTATTTTCAGGATAGAAATTTCTCTTAAATTTATAGTTTAAGAATTAATAAACATAGACCAAAGACTTTTGCATTGAGTCACGTGATATTTATGCTCTTCTAGCCATGTTTTTTTATACTTTAATGAAAACTCTAGCTTTTGAAGTAAAAATACAAGGTGGTATTTTATTCAACTAGATAAAGTTAAATATCTTAATAAGATTAAAAAAAACGTTTTCCAAATATTTTTTATAATTTTTTATAATAAAAAAACTCCTTGTTAGGAAAACTATAAAAAATAAAAATTTATGATAATTCATGAAAAACCTGTCCACATAATTACGTGGCTTATAATGTTTTTATGGTTGTTTGAACACTCAATAATATTGCCATATACCTTTTGATTTAATTAACTTATCAAGTATAATAAATTAATTCCATTAGAAAGTTGAATCATATTTTTACCTTAATTACTATAACCTACATTTCTTTTCTTTTCTTTTACCAATACGAAGCTTGAAATGTTCATGCTTTCTTCTCATTAGTGTCCATCAATTTAGTTTAGTTTTATTTTTAATGTTGCACTTGTAAATTAGATTCTAGGTTTTCAACATGTAAAAAATTATATTTAAAAAATAAATAAATTATTGAGATCAAAAAAAAAATACATCTACAAATATTTGTTATTATCGGTGAAGTTATAAAGTCCAAATCAAAATATTATGTTGATCAACTATACATTCAACAAAAATACATTTTGATTGTTCATTTTTTCAGAAGATAATATTGGTTCAACATATTTTGTTTGTGTATTAATTTTGTGAAATATAAAAAATCATGTACAGATACTACTGTTTCGAACATGTTAAGTTCACATAAACAAAATTCTGTGTCTCTATATTTATATTTGAATCCTCCCATGAGTTTCATACTAATAGTATGTTTAAATTTACATTCATTCACTCCATAGTGCTGTTGATGTGTTGAATATAATTTTAAAACTCATATTTAACTTCTCATTGAAATTAGATTAATAATGTTCCAGTCCATCATTAAATTAGTAAAGCATCATTCTTTAGATGCTACTTGTACTATTAACTGATGGTGAGTTTTACAATGATGAACGTGTATATTACTACCTTTAACATTTTCCAAGTAGTTGGTTTTTCAGAATGTCCAGCATGGGAAAGACTTTTAAAATTTAAAGTTCAAGTTGTAATCAAGACGTGTATATTTGGTCCAAAATGACGGTAGACTACCAGAGAGAATGACACTTTGTATCTACAATGATCACAATTAGCCCTGAAAAAGATTGGTACTTTCAATCTCAACTACACACACTACAAATTGTGTAATGGAATAGAATACAAGTCATCCATGTTATTTCATAAGATGTGATTGTAACAATATTAAAATAAAATAAAATAAAATAAAAAGCGATTTTTTTTGAAAAACATTGAATGTGATAAAATTGAACAGTTACATATGTAATAATAATTAAAGGTCCTTGTTATTACACTAAAAATAACTTTGAGTTTTAATTTTTATAATTATTATGAAAGCCTTTTTTATTCTACATTATTTTTTTCCAAAGCATGTATTATTAAATCCTGCGTTTAAAGATAACTTGATAACATGTTAATTGTATTTTAAGTTTTTATTAACAAAACTAATCAACTGTAACAGTTGGTTAGCGCTGAAGGGGAACTAGGATTGTAACTTGTATAATTATGGATGCTTCTGATAGGTTGGTTAAAGTTAGTGATGTTGAATGAAATAGTGATAGATCCATTTTCTTTGGAAAACAGGGTGTCTTATTTTGTTCAAATGTAAATTTAAAATGTGAATATCTCCTCCTCGTTACACCAAACACATGTTTTATGTTGCATGTATGTTTTGTTTTATTTTATTTTTTCATTTTTCAATGTCAAATAATCAGAATTATCATTGTATAAACTCAAGAAGAAGAGAAAAAGAAAAAGAAGAAGGAAAAACCACATACAACTGTGTAATTTTCAGTATTTTTATGAAACAAAAGGAATGAAAATTGAAAATCTAACTTTGATACAACGTGTATTCATTTGTAAACATCATGAAAAATGTGCTTGAACTATCGGTACATATAATAGTATTTGTCTACAACCACTTGTGGCCAATCAACCCTTTTTCAACCCTTTTTTGTTTCCTTTGCTTCAAAGTTCACGTAAGCTGAACAAAACGTATCACGAAAGTTTGTTTTAGGAGGAACAAGGTTCCAGCAGGCACTCTCTCTTTTCCGTGCCACGCTGGCAAGTCCAGCTGGTCATAAACCAGTCACGCTGGCAGGTCCAGCTGGACGTGAGCCAGCCACGAGGCACGAATCTATTGCCCCAACCACAACCCATCCGAACTATTTTGGATAAATTTCTGTTTCGATGCTGTCTCCACCTTCGCCAACCTGGACCAATCCCGTCGCGTGCCACGTGGAAATCACCCACTGGTTAAGGCCCCTGGTTCTATCCACCTGCACGGAATGACCTCATCATCGTAATCATCATTCCAATCAAAGCCCTCTTTCGTTAGCACGCCCCCATTCTCCCAATCCGGGCAGACTGCCCGGCCCCTGAAGACAAGGGCAGTTAGTGTCCTGTCCCCAAGCAAAGGGTATCATTCCCTCTCATCCATAGAGAATTTTTAATTTTTGGAAATGTCATTTTCCGGGCAGGCTTTGTTATCTCCCTATGGTGTATTAAAATTGGAAAATTGCTCCGGCACCATTGGCTTGGAGGCTGGGTTCCTCTAAAGCCGCCATCTGACGGTGCCCCCTTGGTTTGGTCAGGGCCATAAAGAAGGGGTTTGCTTG